GAGAGAGAAAGGGGGGAGAGAAGAATGTTCCAAAAGATTAATATAACATTTTCAAGAGAAAATGTGCCAAAGAATGGATTGCCAAAATGGAATATAAACGGCAATATATGAAAGAAATTTCATAAAACATAAAACACAGAAGATACAATTATAACTATTATTAAAAATAATTTATATATATATAATATTATGTATATACGGTTTTTTTATAAGTTTTACATAGAAATGATTTACTCTTTTTTTTTTTAATAAAAAACTTTCCTCTTGTAAAAATATATACGTTTCGTATTGCACACTAGATGCGCGATTATATTATAGTCACTCGTCTAAACTCGCAAATCCCGAATACGAGATGGCCAGCGATAAACTTCAATATAATCAATATACATGTGGACTATATCAGATTATCGTTGTTAAGTATAAAAACATAATATGCATTATAATGTACTTTTCAATGTTTAACAATTGCACACGCTCTAAGTAGTATAAATATTTATCAAACGCTTGTCATGGACTTGTACATACTGAGATTATTTTGTGAATCTTTCGCACAGCCAATCACAAGGTAATTTCGGCATTCTATTTGCCGGCCACGGAAGATATCCTGCAGTCTTCAACACCCAATAATCATACGATACTTTGACTATCAAGCCGATGAGAATCATCACTTCGATACCGATAATATAATATATATAATCAGTCCAGTCTCCCGGATACACGCACATTTTTGATGCGTCTAGATCTACAACTTTCTCCTTCACATTTTCGCACATCACCTCGTCGGCGTCCAATATCCGCGTCTGCAACCATGCCTATGAGAAAGAGACAACAGGTTTTCTCATCGCATCATGTGATGTGCTGTTCTTTTTTGAAAACTCATACGATACCTTTAAAAATTTGGCAGTGTTGCAATCACAATGTAACTCGTTGCCACCTAGTTTGACTAATCGCGAGCTCAGAGTCGCGAAATTCTTATTGTACACGTTTGCACTTAGAATATATGTTGGCAGCTAAAACACGTTACATCTTACATTTAGTACGAGCAGTTGTGGCATCTTACATTTAGTGCAGCTGTGGTATCATCGAGAAGTCTCATACATTGTTGCACTTACTGATTTAATTTTATTATATCGTAGACTCAAGAGGGCATAATTGTCCAGAAACTTGGAACCTTCCAACTTGTTTATCGACGTAATATTATTGTAATCTGCATAAAACTCGCGTAGATCCTCGTAACACGGGTTGGTACTTAGATCGTCCAATACGGTGATCTGAAAAGAACGATATACGTTATTTATGAAGTAATGATAAGTCTTGTCGATAAGGTGAAGTAGACATGGGATTTGTTTAAACCTACGTTATTGTAGGAAACATTGAGCGTTATAGTATTGCGCGGCAATTTTTCCGGCAATTCTGTTAATTGAATGCCGCTGCAGTCCACGTATACGGCAAAGGTGGGCGGCTTGCCTTCAACAATGTCCAGCCTGCTGACATTACACTGGCATTGCCAAGTGTCGCCTTTCGGGCATTCTGTTTGCAACTAAAAGTCGAAACTAGTCCCGATTATCTCATAAAATTGTGAGAAACATCACGCAACATTGTTACCGCGCGAAAACATACCGAGCTGAGATAACGGACTTGCTTAAGTGGCACTTGCTCAGTGGTGTTAAACCAATGCCATGTTTTGCTGGCGGAACACACCGTTTCGTTTTCGCGATTAAAAGTGATTTGCATCTCGCCCGTTCTGTTGATATATTGGTATATGTCGTGGCACCAGAGTGTGTTTGTCCCTATGAGGAGAGAGACACAGTGGCTTTAGTAGCAAAGATATGTGCCTATCTGATGTGTTTGATGAAGTACATATACTTGATCATATGTTGTGACAGCTGCTCTGTGTACATAAGTTTAATGAAGATAAGGATAAGGAGGCGACGTGATCTCTCTGTTACCTGAGATATCTAGCCAGAATTCTCGACCGTTTGTGTTCAAAGCTGGAAGGTGAGTGAGGTTGTTATAAGACAGATCCAAAGTAGCAAGGTGCTCTAACCGCGTCAATGAGTTATTCTCTACTTCAGCCAATGCATTATTCGAAAGATTTAGGCACACTATGGGTGTCTTCATGAAAAACTGCCCCTTCACTTGACCAATCTTGCCATCGGTCACAGCCAATGATTTCAGCGTCCTCCACCGAACTTCATTTGCTGTGAATGTCTCCAAGGTTGCATTACGTATATGTACATAGCTTATGTTCGACCAAGGGAATCCTGAAATAATTTAATAGAGATAATCAGAGTAATTTTATAATATTTGTATATTTTTTTATATTCTCTTTTTCTAATAGATTTTCCCTGTACATAAATAAATAATGACTTGTGATACAAATTTATACTGTTTAATAACTTTGAAAAAGCTCTTACAACTTACCCATACAAGAGCGAGCATGGTCCAGAGTCTGATTATTTATGTTACAGCAGAGCGCAGCATGGGGTTCAGGTACATTGGCTAGTGTAATCTTCTTGCAAGGACATTCATTTGAATTTACCCCTATGTTTGGACATTCCGCTGCTTGTCTGTAGAAACATTGCACTGGAGGAGAATTGGGAATCCCATCTGTATTTGATGCCTGCTGGTCTTCTTCTGTACGTGCACTAGCTAGTCCAGCATACAGACACATTATCATAGCCAACCAGTGCATCTATATGTGCAATATGACAATATTATAAACTATAATTTTTCAAAAATATATATATTTACTTAAGCAATACGAAAGCACATACCTTCAACATTAAATGCTCCAGCTTGCTGTGCCTTAGATGTTAACAATATGGATCATTGTAAATTGATCTGTATCACTAGGATTATCCTGCTGCCGCCATTCTGTTTGTAGAACAGCGATGAGTTGCTTGCGGCTGTGACTAATTAGCGCGATACGATCGGTCGTTCTCGAGATAATTGGCGTAATTCAATGAGCATACTTGATTGCTCGCGGCTGTCAAGAACTCGCTCGGCGAGAGGCGCAAACGAATTAATTCGTTTAACCGCGGCTGACACTCCGAGTCGCTCAGGTCGTTTCGTTGACGAGACAAAATTGCTCGGCCAAGGGTTGAGGCCTGTTCATTACACTTGCGCGCCAATTAAGCGATAAACGAGGAGGCGCGCGCGCGCGCGTGTGTGCGTGCGTTATCAGTTTATCGAACGATCGTCTCACGAGTCAACATTATAATTCTATCATACATTACGTTTTTTTTGCGATATCGTTGACGGCGACTAACGGCTATGTAGATGTGAAAGTCCATCGTTTCTTCTACGCATCGTGAATTCTACATCGTAAACTGTCATTGTTTTTTGTTTATAAATAGACGGAGCTCAGCGACGCGGCAATCTGTATTTTTCTGTTGCAATGGCTCCGAGGGTAGTCGAAGAACATTACCGACCGTTCTTCTAATACCGACGAGAAGTACGTTCTCCTAATATCGACCAGAGGTAACTGCGACTTCTCTTTTAAATTGAGGTAATATACATTGTAAGCTTCACAATTATTTGTCCTCATATTTTATGTATATAGTGACATGCGTTTCTCATTCCCTGCTTGCACGTAATTGACGTAATTGATAATAATTTGCAAACTTGATGGTTTCAGGTCGCTTCTGGGACTTCTATCGGACACTCTTGAAACTTGATCAATTTTGACAGCTCAGCTTGAACATGTGAAAAGAGATAAAGATGGCCTTTGTATGTTTTTATTTCGAACGTAAATATTGACGACGGATGAATATAGTTGGGAATGATGCGGTAATTCAACATATTGCAATAATATTCAACGACACGGATCAAATACAGATATGAGCTTATCTCATCCTTATTGGCGGGAATGGGCGGCGTGACAACGACGGTGAATGGTTGGAACGTAACCTGAAATCGTTGTAACATTCGACATGCAACTTTTATAATATATTATCACATTGATACGTATATATATATATATATATATATATATAAGATACTGTATGCTACAAATAAACGCCTGCCGCTATGGATAGGTATGAATTAACGTGGAACAATGTGATCAATTGGATTGCTTCGGGCGCAATGATCGTTGGCGGGATTCTACCGTACGTACCGCAATACAAGGAAATCAAGAGAAAAGAAGATGCGGAAGGATTCTCCCTTTACGTTTGTCTCACCCTTCTTATCGCCAACACTCTCCGTATATTATTTTGGTTTGTACTAATTGTATAGCGAGATATTAATATTTTATATCAAGTTTTATTATTCACAAAGATATATATTATTATATGGTAAAAATATTATATGTGATATACTAACACTCACATATATTTGTATTCACCATAGGTTTGGCAAACATTTTGAACTTCCACTTTTATTGCAAAGTATACTTATGATTATGGCAATGTTTGTTATGATTAAACTTTGTATCAATATACAAAACAGAACACAGATAATTAAAGCAAAGGAACGTGTGTTTACAGGTAGAGCTAGTTTTATTATCATAATATTGAAAAAACTATATATAGTATCACATATATGTATATTAATGAAAACAATTCTATTTTCACAGATTTGGATGTCAGGTTTTTTTGGAAATGGACAAATTTTCAGTCCTATCTGACTTTTATGGTTTTATTTGCTACTGTAGGTGGTGTGTTTATGTATTTGTTTATAGATATACCAATATTTATTGAAATTGTTGGTTTGTTAGCGGTGTTAATAGAAGCTATGCTCGGTATTCCTCAGTTTTTACGAAATTCTTCTAATAAATCAACTGCAGGGATGAGGTGAAAGCATATTTTTTGATAATAGAAAAATTAATTAGGTTAATTATGCATATATGTGGATTCAATTAATCTTTCATTTCGTTTTTAGTGTAACCATGGTAACTATGTGGACACTGGGAGATGTTTTCAAAACATGCTACTTCATTTTGAAGGATACTCCAGTGCAATTCCAAATATGTGGTGCTGTTCAGGTTGTAATAGATATTGCAATTTTAGTACAAGTATATATCTATTCAAAAAAAAATACTCCGCACACAAGAACGGCTATAAGAGCAGATTGAAAATTTTTTAGGCGAGTTGTATATGCCTATGTTTATATATATAAATTTTTTTAATGTTCATATTTATATAACAAGATGGGAAACTAATATATTTTTTATATTGACTGACTGCAACAAAGTATTTATATGCACTTAAGATAAACCAAATTTCTTAACATTTACCAAACAAAGTGCAGTTAATATTTTGATAACAATATTAGCGTTTTACACCATTTATTGTATAAATCTACACGTGAAGTTAATATTTCATCATTAACTGCACATCTAATGCCAAATGTAATTATCTGTTCCTCTCATTTTATGTTAAAATATAAACATTACAATTTATTGAAACTTATTAATTTCACAACCACGTTCAGTTTCTGTATATAAATATTTAATGAAAGTATAGAACGAATGGCGGGAACGAATGACGTTTAGTACATGCCGGTCGCTTAGCGACGAAACGTCAACAAAACTCCGTGAGTGTACGGCAAACATGGCATAGCTTCCACTCCAAGGAAAAAAAATGACAAGTTCTTAACATCACTGAACTAACAAATTCTTTTTAAGAAAACAATCAAACCCTACTTAATTATCCGTTAGTTATCCGTTACAATTCTTGTAAGAGTACTTTAGGAAAGAATTATTTCAATTGACATCCAGAAATGACAAGATGTATAAGAAACGAGGTTAATTTAAAAAGCACCGGTGAGTGCTCATTGAGCCGTGAGGTATGTATTAATTTTTGGTTTGGGATATCTAATCTGATTCTGTATATATTGTCATAGCTTATAATCAAACGGGGCAGAATTATTTTGAGCAACTCGCAGCATACAACTCGATGAGCCAGCATCTGCGACGCATTCTATTGGCGAAAAGCGTAGTCGACACAAGAAATAAAAATTATATGTGCAGAAAGAATAAGAGAAGCAAGCCAGCTGATGACAGAAGAATTTGCTCTCTCCCGGAGACGACGGATGACATAATCGACAGATTAGCCTATGATACTCAACATCATCCAATGGTGAAAGTCATAACATAAATAACATGTTTAAAATTATGAAAATTTATATGAATAGCAAGCAGTGTTGTAATATATTTAGATATACTTATTAATTATAGTAGATATATTTATTAATACAGTAAATACATGTATCTAATTACAATATCTAGATATTTTGTATGTATCTTTGTCTATAACTAGTTAGATTTTTTATTTCAGTAACTGTATCTGTAACTAATTTCATTTTACCTTGTATCTGTATCTAAAATGTTAAACTTAGATATTTTTATAAAAAAATATCTAGGTATTTTAGATAATTAGAGAGATAGATGTATTTACTGTAATTAGATAAATATATCTACTATAATTAATAATTGCATCTAGATACATTACAACACTGTAATCGACTGATAGTGCAATAATAAGAGTGCAGATATAAAATAAATAAACGTTCGTTAAAACTTTCGATGCTTCCTATGGAGATTTTTATAGATAAACAAGTAGCATTGGAAACATTAAACTAATTTATGTCAATGATTAAAAATTTACAATTTCGTGAAACAAATTTCTAATGGGTTTTAGCGTGTCTACTTGTTGTAACAAATGGGAATAATTATATTTTTAAGTACATATCGTTCTTCCTTTTCACATTTGCTAATACAGGACGTATTAAGGATAAAACCAAGTCTGGAATGTCTGGATTATTGTGACTGCAACTTGGAACACCGGCGATCGAGAAACTGTGGCCGACTGTGTTGTAGAGCGAGCAGTCAAAATCGTCGACAACGATCAAGGAGTCAAAGATCGATATCACCCGCCACGGCGTCAAAACGTAAAAAATTCATATCGAATGCCGTTTACGGGATGGAATTCAAAACCGCGCGGAGAAACCCTTGCATGATCGGCTCGTCGGTAGGCTTTTTGCGACAGAGGTGAGATTGCATCAAATTTGTATCTGCATTTAAGTTCAATTATTTACTTATTTATTTCCTCTTATTTTTATTAAAATTTTTATTATAATTTGATTCTTTCCTGTCTCCGGCCTATAATTGTCGATTTCTTCTTTTCTTTATCCCCATAGAAAATGTAGATACGAGACAGATCCTGTTTTCGTTCCTTGCACAACTGCTACTTTAGACTCGTTAGAATTTAAACCGACGTGTTGTTCCCCGATACAAGAAACAAACGACCATCGATCGGCATCGTCAAGCACCTCGCGAAGCCACGACGATTCCGATCGCGACAAAGCCGTCAATCGACCTGTGTCTCAGCAAGAAGATGGAAAGAAATATGTTAATTTCATCTACGATATCACCAGAGAGATTAAGCAAAATGGTCTCTATACCGATAAGGAACTGCAGGATGTGTTCAAGAAGCACATCGAAAAAAATAAAGGAACATTGGACATGGTACGAAAAACAATATCGTCGTAAATAGAAATCTGTTCTTGATCGCCGAACTAGTGCACTTACGGTACTTAAAAAGAAACAGAAATATCGTTGAGATTTGTTGGAAAAAAAGAGAAGAAAAGAATTAGCAAGCTAGTACAACTAGCAACAGAAAACATCTATTATTGTTTCATTGATTCGTTTAAAGATATTCAAAGACGATATCTAGGCAACATCAATGAGAGACGACTTCATGTCTCTTGCTAGGAAACAATCAATACAGACTCTCGGTTTCTCCTTTTGTTCCAGAATAGAATGCTGTATGAGGTCTACCAGCTGAAGATTTCTTTAAACATACTGGATGATGGATCGGATACAGATGACGAGTTGGAGGATCTTATCCACGCACAAACGTTACTGCACGTCTCCGAGATCAGGCCACCTACGCCACCAAAGGTGCTGGACGAGAACAAAGTTATTGATAAGCTTCAGTCTTATCAGAAGTCAATAGAGACTCAGAATGGACAGTTGAGCAAGGGTCCCACGAAAAAGGTGGTACTGTACGACTTCAATGAGCCAAAGATGTACCCCATAACGGTAAAAGATTTGATGGTGGGAGTGATAGAAATGCAAATGCACGCTCAAGAAGTACGAGCCAATTCTTCAGTGTCGAAACATGTGTCCACGCAAGATGAGACGGAAGAGAAGCTTAATGGTCAAAAAGAATCCGACGTTCACATGGTAGAATCTTAAATGAAGCCTGCAAATAATATAATACAATAGAAGAAATAACGTAATCCCTTTTTGGTCTAGATTCAGTCGGAAGCGGAAGCTTCGTATTCCTCGCAGTTTGAGAAATCAGAGGAATCCCAAGACGACGACAGACGGGCTTCTCTCACGGGCGAGACGATCGAGAGTTCCCACGCTTCCGTTAAAGATCGTTCGATCGATTCCTCGGTGAAACAAGACGCCAACTCTTCAACGTCGAACCTCGTGTCCATACAAGATGAGACAATGGAAACTGAAGAGCTGACCGAGTCCGCGCCAGCGGCTGAGAGTTCTCAAGTCGAATCGTAATCCGGACCAAAGATAATGTGGACACGTTCGAGCTAACTTTTGGCTTGCTGCCTTCATGGATTTGCCGACATGAATTTCAGCTCGTTTCTTCAGGGAAAGAAATAACTCTGAAAATAACTTTGAAATTCCCGTAAAACATTGGTAACAAGCCCACGACAAGACGCGGCATCAATCCGCGATCCAGATTAATCTTTAGACTGTCGGAAAAGCCACAAAAGTGACTTTATAGCCACAAAAGTGACTTTCCACTTTCCACGGCAGTCTGAAGGTTAAGCATTTCTCCACGTCGCGCAAACCTCATATATTGAAGCTCTTGGCTACTCGCCGCGACCATCTTGATTAATGATGTCAGAAGCAAGAAAATGTATAAAGTATCAAAATTCCTACAAAGCATGTCGAAATAAAGATACGTTTAAAAAATATCACTTGCAAGATCGATCAAGTATACCTTTAAATACTCAGAACATTTTTGTTTTAACAATCAATAAATGACTGTACAATTATCGTGTTCGGAGTATCTTAGAGATGTGCTTAATCGATTACAAGTGTTATTTTTTGGATATATATTTCGACGTAGGAATTTGCAAGGATTTTTGGCACGCATTCCTCGATTCTGATATCATAAGTGCGTTTTCGTTCTCATTCCTACACTGTTGCTGAAAAGCATTTAATTTTACGTTACAATTTTGCCGTTATACACATTCTCTCCTCGCATTCGTTAATAACATATTGTGTTAGCAACAAATGAACGTTAGATGCACAGTTCTCATCTGTCGTTTGACAGATATTAGAGTAAATTATGGTATAATATACTAGGATAAATTATGATAATAGGAGCAAAGTATAATACACAAGTATTCTGGTGATCTTGTTCGTATACTTTTCTTTTATTACACCCTGATTTTACTTTTTTGTTTAACAAAGTACGTGTATGTGCGACGCTTGTAGCACCCGCCGCGTGTATAGCTTTTCCAATATTCTCCCCTTCCTCCGCAGACAAAATATACACATGGTGAAAAAATAGAGGTCATGTACATTCATTCCTTGCGCATATACAACATTCTGCACATATCTAAGTACAGGTACTGGTATACAAAGTCACGTGTTTGTACAACAGGAGGTTTGCACGATATCGCCGTGCCGATCTTTTTATGTTACAGTGCGGTTTGTCATACAAAAGCAATAAAACAGCTGTATGTGATCTCGATAGTAGTCTACTTTGTTCGTTTACCTACGGCTACTGGCTCTGCTTGTGTACTTTGTTTTGTACATATGTTCCATCTTCTTCATCCGATACACGTTGAGGTACGTTTAGTTCAAAAAGGTAACTAAGGAATATCTCATTGGATACAAACTATTAGACATCAACTACGATAACTATATGTGTACACAGCCACCTATAAAATATTGACACACACACACATACATATATTTTTATATGCACATATATATATATATATATATACATAATATATACATATATATTGTATACACATGTGTACATATGTGTGTGTACATATATACTATCAAAATAAATTTATATTTCAGCTGCGTTATACTTTGTATTCGCATCATGCGAATAGGACTCTGTCTTGCGACTTAACACGCGCAAATTATAATTATACGTTGCATTCTTCGAGGAATTCGCGAAAACCCATAGACTATGATATCCTGTGATATAAACTCCAAAAAAGAAAAACAAAAAAAAACAATAACATAGCAAAGTATGTCGAATGCTCGAATACTACTGTAAAGAATATATAAAAAAATCGCATTCATCACGTTTACGAGAGAAATGCAATGCAACCAAGATTGGACAGATATACAATCGCTTGTAAAAGCGTCTAGTTTTATGACGGGGGAATAAATTGGCGCGACATGCTTCTTCAGCAGCTGTCCATTAGCTGCCGTCGGACGCGTTTGAGGAACAGTCTTCGAGTTCCGGCGCGTTTGGACCTTTGTCTAATATACGCGCGAGTTCCGTCACGTGTCTTATTGTAAAATCCGGCTTGGGATCGCCTCCCGAAAGACGAGGCTTGTCCGCGGTGGGTATCCACACGGTCCCGCCCAGTCCGGCCTCGATACCACCTGCATAATATAATGTTGATATTTATTGCGACGCATGCATGCGCTGTTCAGGACGAACAGAAGAACTGTAGAAGTACTGATTGATATTAACACGTTCGCTACCACGGTTTATTTGGAAAATCCTCGCTGCAGCCCACTCTGTATTTTTTTTTCATGTCATCGACCAGAGCAAACGTCGACTAACAGTAATGTCAGATCGATGTTATAATCTCCCACTCAACGGTGTAACTGTCACATGCACATCGCAAATCTAAGTGTGTTATTTTGGCTGAATCTCTTTCACATGTTTCTTATCGTTTGAAGTCACGTCATTTAACATATTAAATGTGAACATATTAAATTATACGTCTTAAACGTGTTAAACGACGTGATTTAAAACCGTCAAAAACGTATAACTTCAGCCAAATTATACACTTACATGTTTAAAAATAATACTTAGATTTGCAGTGCAATATATTGCACTTACATTGTTAGATGGGAAATTATAACGTTGATATAATTATTATCTTTATCAAAATTACATATTACAAGTTGATTATTATGATTATTATTGATGTTACTATTGGTTGGTGTTTATTGGGCTGCGTGTAATGTAACTGCCCAGATAGCCAAGTGATTGAGCATTTTGAGCAAATTAATGCACAGCAAGTATTGTTAAATGTTTGTTGTATATTTGTTAACATGTAATGCGTTATTGAATGCAACATGATTGTTTATATTTAGATGACGAAATTTCAAGAGCAAACTGATCAACGACAGTAGCACGTCAGCATCATGATAAAAACTTTTTAACGGATTATAAATCTGCATCAACGTATTGCCACTAATTTGCCGTTATTTGAATTCACGTGAATTCAATGCGATACACATAATGTTGTCTCACCTTGTTCCTAGTTTGTTTGAATTAGTTCCTATTTGTCGTCGACAACGCGACAGTGAACTCACAAACAGTTGGCTATCTGGATATGTGCTGTCACAAAGAGATTCTCAAAGATTGCAATACTTTTTTATATATATCACGTGTGTTCGCTGGTAACGAACGTATTAAATTGAGGTGAATATTGATACCTAGAATATCCGTTTCCAACTTGTCGCCGACCATGATACATTCTTTGGCCCTCACGTTAAGGAAGTCGCAGGCTCTTCGGAATATCTCGGCGTCTGGCTTCTCCCAGGGAAGATCACCCGACACCAGGATGATATCGAAATATTGTTCCAGCGACAGCTTGTGCACTTTCTCCCATTGTGCGTTCGACGGGCCGTTCGTGATTAGTCCTAGCGTGTACTTCTTCCTGAGCTGACGCATCATCGACACGGTGCCCGGCGTCAAAATCATATAGTGGTATCTTAAATACAGCCATCGTTCGTAAACTTTTTTTGCTAAGTGTGAGTACTTGTCGCCCAGAGCCTTGTTCCACAAGATCGTGCGCCAAGCGTCCAATGTGCAGGTCGCGTTGTCCGGGCATTTTCTGAATTGCTTGAGAAACACGGCCGTTATCTTGATGGATGCATCTTCGGGGATACCGTATTCTTGCGTCAATTCCTCAGCCAACTGTAGGTAAATATGTGCAATAAGAGCTCTCGCTTTCGCGATGAGACAAACATTTTTGTGACGTTAAAGAATGATGAGCGAAGAACTGAAAATGAAGAGGGACGATAGAAACTGAACGGGAATTAAATTAATTTCCACATTCAATACGTACGATCATGACGATACACATTTACATACACATTGGAAATAATCATACGTAAATGATCATCTCTTTGTCGCAAAATTGACGCAACGTTTCTCTTCACCTAAAAAAAAGCAAAAAAAAAAGCAAAATAACGTGGTGAAGCGATTCTCCGATCGATCAGACACAAAAACGAATATTGAATGTGGAGTTCTCATTGATCAACCAAGGTTTCGGGACGAGAGGATACAGCAGTCAGTTAGGAGTTTAGGGCACTTAATTCATTATTAATGATTACCTAGAAAATGCATTGATTCATTGAAATACTCGAGCCGATTAGTGGACACTCGAAGTGGCACCCGCGGACGTTGCTGTAATCACAACAAAATCAGTTGTGCCAACAACAACTACAACAACAACAAATGTTATACCAAACCCTTTGAGTTGTGGCTGAAAGATTTCTGGATACCGGACCGTGTGTGTGGACTCTCTTGTACAGTCTAATTTAATAAGCAGCTACCAAGTCTAATTAGTCGCATTGTGTGAGATTAGTTGCATCCAGTAATCTTTCTTTGTGATTTATCCTTGTTACAGAATTAAATTACTGCATAAAGAGCATTAGATAGTATCAGTAGTAGAGTGGACGATGCGAGAAATCAAGTGAATGCTTAGAAAATTTCTCCGTTTAATAGCAAAGTGTTTCGGTTGCATTACAAAATCTTCGTCGCAAAACAATTATCGATGAGTTTTATCTGTGTATGTGTGTATGCGTGTGTGGCTCGGTGTAAGCATCTCAAGATCACAGATTAAAATTAACAACGATCTTCTCTCCTTCCCACGGTGCAGGGAAGTACAAGAAGCGTTTGATCGACGAAACCAAATGTATTTGCGTATCAAAATCCCATTTTAAAACGCGTGCGTACCTCCGTATACGCGATTTACGAAATATTCCTCCGGGCGTGAAACCTCTTAGCTTTCTTGCTTGCCAGGAGACTATTTCCAGACGTGATGCTGTCTAAATTTATCCTGGACTACGCACACATGTGCATTTCAAATATCCCCTAGGCGGGAGAGACGTGTGCAACAGCAATTCACGTCGCAGAATCCTACGGCTACTTACAAATCTATTTTTTTTTTGTAGAAAAGTACAATTTCGCAACGTTCGTTTCGCGATCGATCGATTCTGATCCTTCTCACTCAATTTTTACATCAAGTTCGCTCGCGATACACAAGTTAACGATATAATTACAATAGAACAACACGCGTCGGTTTGCTTAGACTAGCAGAAAGCCAAAAGAGCTACATAGCAACGTCCGTTCAACAGTCACTCTAATCTCCGAAGAGATGTTTCCCGAGCTCCATCATGCGATGATTCCTACAGACGGTCAACGCGCCGCACTTCTTCAGCACCGAGCCGACACTTTCGTCGGCCTTCACCAAGTGGCACAGCAGATCCTCGAAGGCGGACTTGACGTTCGGTTGCAGGCCGCCTATCTTCACTTTTTTCAGCGTCTCGATGATCTCCTCCGCCCAGCCGGACTCCAGCGTGAACTGCGACAGCCAAGGTATCACCTGCAGCACCCCGGCCATCGTTTGCATGCCCAAAAACCAGAGCTCCATGAGCTCCATCCAGTGTTCCTTGTACGATATGGCGACCACTAGCTCGGTAGGGTCGTTGCCTTCGTCGATAATATACGCGTCCCACAGGAATCTTATTGTGGCCTGAATGTAACAGCATATCGAGAAGTCGTTCTTCTTGATGCGCTTAGCCTGCTGCTTCAGCAGCAGCAGGCCCAATACTGCCAAGTGGCCGTGCAGTACCAGGTTCTCCGGGATCTGCTTCAGCTCCGGCAGATTGTTGAAGATGAATTTCAGCAACGAGACGAACGTCGGCGACTCCTCTACCAGCTTCGCCTCCAGCACGGTGATGTTCATCAGGACGTTGCAGATGGATACCATCGCGGTTCTAGAGTCCTTCATCTCCTCCAAGAGACCCGCGTCCAAGTCCTCCGTACGATTGCCGTCCTGCAGGACCTTCAGACGCTCTGATCGCGGTACTGGCGGCTTCTTATAGTGCACGATGGTCCAGTGATAGGACATGCACTCGAACAGGACCTCGTCCTGCTTATGCTTCAGGAGGATCTTCCGGGCATCCTCTTCCACGGCCAAGTAGCACAAAGCGGGCAATAGCAACCTCAGTATGTCGTTCTCGCTCATCGGATCATGAGCTACCGGTTCTCCAGACGACGTCCCTTCGTCCGTCTTGCCGGCCTTGGCGCCGGACTTGGCTTTCTCAGCTAGCTTCCTGTTTCGGTGCGCATAGAAGGTGTCGTTGGCCACCGTCAGCATATACGGCAGCACGGCATAAACCTGAGGACGCATCGCGGTGGTCTCTTGCGCGAGCCAAGCTGCGAGCACCCTGACGACGGCGCACACGAAGATCTTCTCCTCCATATTCGTCAGCGTCTTCATCTTCGACACGGCGCTGAGCAGGCCGATCACCGCCGCGAAAGCGCCCTTCAGGGCCGTGTACAGAGACTGCTTCTCCTTCTGATCCAAGTCTAATTGATCGGTGATGATGTATCCCAACGAGATCTCCAGGATAATAAAACAGGCCGTGACTAAGTTTCCGTTGGCAAGCACAGCCTTCAGCTGTTTCCCTTCCAACTGCATCCGCACCTCGATCGATGCCAGCTGTATCAGCAGCAAGAGAAGTATCTTAGGTTTCTCCTTGTCGGACAGAGCCCATTCCGCGCCCAGGAGGTCCATCATCACGGATGCGAGCTTCAGAGCCGGATCCCGTTGGTTCTTGCCGATCTTCGAGCCCAGGATGTCGCTCAGACCCTTGTGGATACTCAACGGCCAAGACTCCTCCTTCGCGGACGCGGAGATCACGTCCTTCTTGCAGGACTGCAGCAAGGCCTGCAGTATGGTACATAGCTGGAATTTTCTCTCCGTGTGATCGGTCTCGAAATCCAATGCCACTTTGTGGATTATCGCGTGGAAAGGCGCGGTGTCTGTCGGGTGCCAAGCAGTCGGGCCGAATGTACCGACCAACGTGACCAAGATATTGAGCGCCTCGTCCGTCTGGAAGCTCTTCTCCGCGTAAATGTCACACATTTTCGGGATCGCCTCCTGCTCGAGCAGCGCCTGCTGTCCGGGCGGGTGCTGCGCGATGCTCTGCAGGCAGGTATACGCTTCGCTGACGATGATTAGCATGTCGTCTGCTGCGTCCTCGTCGGCCTGGGACACGATTTCGAGCAGCGCCGGAATGTGACCCACCATGTCCGGGTGAGAGGCCAGCTCAGGCTCCCCGCAGAACGCGGTCAGAACCGATAACGCCACGGACTTGTACACCTGCGGCGGACAATCCACCGGCACGCTGTCGCTGACGAGCAGCCTGCGGAGGAACTTCGCCCCGATCGCCTCGAAAAGCATCTTCTTGGCGGCCGGGCTGCAATCCTTGCCGTCCACTAGTTTGGTAACCATGAAGAGTGCGGCGAACTTCTCTGAATCCGTATCCACCGCCTTCAGTATGGCCAAGCACTTGGCGACACCCTCGGGCACACTCATGGCGCTCGCTTGTGCGGTTCACGGATTTCACCTGATCGTGGAAATCGCGGAGAAACGAGAGAAAGAGCGGAGTGAGTCGCCTTCAAGTTTGAGACTGGACGGAGACACCTGAACGGGATGACGTCTAGACGTGTTCTTTATACCGCGATGTCGGTGTCGCCGACGCGTCACGTCAAACGGAAGCGAGTTTCCGGAGAGTGTGCTTTAGCAGACGTTACCAGGTGCCGCGGTATCCGTCGCGTGGCATAGCCGCGAGCTAACTGGCAGGCTTCCCAAAGCAGTCCTCGCGCCGTCTAGCCTTGCCCTTTGACACACTCACCAGGCCAGCCGAAAATAACCGTCGTACAACGCACACGTGTACCACGTGTGCGCCCTGCTGCGGTTCTCTCGCGGTCGCCTCGTCACTGGGAAGCCTCTTTGAAGTGTCGTGCCCGGAGAATTCCGTCTCGGAGAGCGGTAACCTCAAAAGTATCTCGCGCAGTCGTCAGTGGTAACGCGTGAACAATGCATCGTGGCGACGTACACTTCCAAGCTTGATGTCGCTCTACTTATATTTACGGATGATTCATTAACACGACGCCGTAAATAAATATCTTACTGTGCTTATCTATTTGTAAATTCGATATCTCGTCAGTGGCAATTAACCTCTGCGTGTACTTTGTGCCGACCTGCAACGCGACGCAGAAACAGTGCAGTTTCAGCTGTGCCTCCTGCACTTGACACAGCGGGATACATGTATATTTACACTTTTCTTAGGAGAGAGAGAAAGAGAGTGTGTGTGCGAGCGAGAAAAATAGGCGACAGAAACGATGCAGAAGGTGCAACTAAAACAAGCATGGAATCGTATCTCGAGAGGCACAATGACAAGACTCTCACGAGAGGGAGAGAGAGAATCCGGAGAAGGTGCGAGACGCGACGACGAAAATAGCCGTCGCGCCGTAGAGAAAGCGCGCTATATCTGGGTGTCGGCTCGTATTACATACGGCGCGCGCGGGACAGGAGGGGGAGAATGACAGGAAACGAATACGACGAATTCTATTCTTACGAGAATGCGGAGTAAGTGTCGCGGAAGAGTGCGACGGTCGTGTGTGAGAAGCGAGACGTATTTACGCACGCACGCGTGACCTCTCGACGACAACTCCTCATCCCTTCCACAGGAGAAAGTCGTGTCGATCGGGTCGGGAGGTTAGGACATATTAAAAAGTATGCTCCGTATACCTTGCGGCAGGTCTGATTGTCGGCCTTCCTAGTCTCCACGAGAGTGTTGTCCAGGTCGAAGAAGATTGCCGTCGGAGATACCCTAGACAAAAGGGACTGCTGTTGCTTGCGGAACGCTATTGCCATCGTCTTCCCCTGTGACAGTCGCGCGCAGTATGAGAACACCCCATTATTTGAGATACATATATTTAAAACCAGAAGTAAATTTCCATTACCAACTGACGCATGCGAAAGTCTAAGGTTTGGAGAACTTTGGGTTTCAGGGCCCCTATTCTTGAAATAGTTGCGTATACGTAATAGCGTGTTCGACTGGCCCTGGGTTAATCGCTCCTAGAGCGATTAATGATGTCATAAGTCTCTACTAGCCAATCATAAAGCTTATAAGTACTTGTTCGACCGATAAACGTAGGCTGAATAACCCAGAATGGGTTAATTCAGAGCCAGTCGAACATGCTATAAGTTTTACTGCGCAGGTTTAATCATACCATAAAATAGCTGCGCAATGAAAATTACGTATACGCAAAAATTTCAAGAATAGGGACCGATATGGGCGATATTGGATGCTTTCTAGCTACGTTTATTTCAGTTTGTTGGTAACATATTATCTAAAATATCTTGTAAGATAATATGCAACCAATAAACTGGTGTAATACAGACTACGTTATCCGGATTAGTAACTATTGTAGTTAGTGAATTCTTGAATCCGATTGGAGTACATTTTTAAATCTAAAAGAATATACCAATAAAATTCAAAAATTCACTATCTATGGTTGTTACTAATGAAATAATGTTACCTTGTAAACGTAGTCACAGTGTACGTAGTTGGAAAACATCCAATATTATAAGTATTAAAGGTTTTCTATTACTTCTATTATCATCTTGATATGGAATATATAACTCTAAACTAAATAAATACTTTTTATTCAAGTGAAAAATTGTTATTATTCCTCATTTATCATTCTTCCTTCAACTAGACTGTTTTCCAGCAAAGAACAATGTGTTACATAAAACTAATTAATTACACATTATCTAAGATATCTTTGGAAATAATAATAGCCAATAAAATAAAGCCAGTGGCATACAATGAGTGCGTTTAGCGAATTCAACAGTTGTACAACAGTTGAGCAATTCGTCAATGTAATTGGTCTAGATTTAGGGATCTAACAGTAAGAACCAATAATCGCTGATTGCTCACTGAGCGCTTTTTCCACTGAACGCGCCCAATGCTTGTTTTCGTGCTGGATGAAAATATTCTGTTCTGATTGGTGCATTTCTGAAGATGGAAGGAAATACATCAGAGCAGAAATAAAAAAAAATAGAGTATTTTCCAGCAAACAATCCAGCACAAAACAAGTACCGTGTGCTGTGTGCTTAACAAAGCGTTCCTTGTTGAAAAACGACTATTGTGTCATTAGCTTAACTGCACTTTTATTTATAAAAGGGAAAATGCCATCCCCTTAGCCGTTATGTTTTCCTAATACAAATCGTTTTGGATAGTAAATTTGAAAATAAAAAACTACTGACTAATTGTTGAGTTACGTGAAAATAATGTATGATTGTTGAGTTCAGCTACGTGAAAATAATGTATGTCTGACTTATCGTTGAGTCGTACTACGATCTCAATTCACGTATATCTATAGTCAGTGGCCTGGTTTACATCATGCACTTGATACGCGTACTAATAAATAGTAACATTCTATTAGATAATCTTAATATTGACAATGCATATCAACGGCGACGCATTCAATCAATACAATACGTTTTCTTGATGAATATTATACAAGCTTAATATATCATTGATTATATATATTTTCGATATTAAGATTATCTAATAGAAAGTTATTATTTAGTACGCGTATCAAGTGCACGATGTAAACCAAGCCAGTAGGTTTGTTCTTTCGACCTGACCTAGGGCTGCATTGGAACTGTACTAGTTGAAGAAAGTTCAAGATAGTGCAGACGAGTGCAAAGATACATATGGGTCTGAAAAGAACGGGTAAGAGCAAGTTAGAGCAGTGTAAGATGGCGGACGACATGGCTGGATTAAATAACATAGATCAATTTATGGTCATGTTTTCTCACTTATAGCATTTTATGTTTTGTTGAACAATCCTATTTCTTTTAAAAACTGTTTTGTGTTGGATACCCATACAACAAATCCCTCCGAAAAAACGTCCAAGAGCCTTCCCAGGATGTCTTTCGGATATTTTGTGCTGTTTGGATAACATTCTAAATACTTCTTTTATGTCATTCTACATTATATATTTATTATATATTTATCTACATTATATATTTATTATATATTTAAGTATTTACTTACTGTTTATAGATTCCGTCGTCGGATTATTTCTTCTACGTAATGTCAACTAGGTATACCGATTTTACAGGTTATAGATACAAATTTAAATTTTTTCGGTTAGCTGCCCTGCACTGCTTGCTCTACCTCCAGACCTAGGGCAGTCAGTTCACTGAACTCGCTGCACTAGTTCAGCCTGCACTGTTCGAAAGAACACATTTTCTTGCACTGTTTTGATCGAAAGAACGCATTAGTGCAAACTTCGTGAACTAGTGCAGCCAGTTCAGGTCGAAAGAACAAACCTAGTATTGCGAGTTCGGGTAACTTTTGGCATTCGCTTTGGGCATTTAAGCCCTATGCACAATGCCAAGCAACAGGCAATAGGAATAGACATTAGTCAATAGGAACAGGGAATAGAAATAATTGACCAATCCAAATTTCTATTCGCTGTTCTTATTACCTGTTGCCTGGCATTGTGTATAGAGCGTTACGCGCTTAAGCGTCAATCTATCTTTATCACTCATTGGCCTGGTTTACATCGTCAAAACGTCAAACGTTAGTACGCGTATTAAATTTGATGCGCACCAATGTTTTAATACGGGTGCGTTTACATCGAACGTACTAAAGCAAAAATATAATACGAATTTAATTCATGCCAATTGCTTCCTAGTGGCGATATTTGGAATTGCAATTTGCTTGAGAATAGCTTTGTTCGACAGTCAGAATGCATAATTTTAAAAATGTTCCCGTTTCTTTTTTTCTCTAACTTATAACCCTTTTTACAAGATATTTTACTATAATATACTTTGAGAGAAACCAACGGTTATCAATAACACCGATTTTAACTTGGTTAGATTCCCTCCAACATTTATTTCATACTTTTACATCGTCATTTGTATCATTTGATACGCATATTAGTTTAGTACGATACTCCTACTTGGTACGCTCGTACAAAATTGATCTGTCAGTGTTTACATCGTGCGTATTAAATACTTAGTACGAATTTGATACGAATATAGTACCTGGTACGCGTATCAAGTGCCCGATATAAACTAGGCCATTACCTGTGGGAAAAAGATAGAATGACGCTTACGGCGCAAAGCGCCCAAAGCGAACGCACCAAAAGTTATGGCTCCTGCACACAGGACGCGGTAATGCTTGCCGCACGGCAGAAGTTCGTGCGACAGCCAATCAATATGCTGCTTTTCGTAATAACCTTCTAGCTCTTACGGAAAAACAACGTATTGATTGGCTGTCGCGCGGACTTTCGCCGCGCGGCAAACATTACCGCGTCCTGTGTGCAGAAGCCATTATCCGAATTCGCAGCACTGGCTTGGTTTTGTGTAACACAGAGTACGTAATTGGAAAGCATCCAATGTGTACGGGCTTTAGTTCTGCTTTATTTCATTGGTCCAATTATAATTTTTAATCCATAATTTGATACAAACATAAAGGAAGATCCTAATTGGTTATCCAGTTTCAGCTACGTATATTGCGCTTTTCTATTGGTCTAACGATTCAAACGGTTTCAAGTATACCAAAGGTAACGCGCATGTTGCTTGCGGCGGCACGTGATGTTTTGGCGCAAAATTAAGTCCGCATTTAAAGCGTCAACATCTTAACCTTAAAGTATCCTAACGACTGCCAACGACTCCGTAACAGTGTCATCCAGGATGGAAATGATCGCGTCGACAGCGACGACTGTCAATGCGGACGACGACTTAGACAATTATTCCTCGGCGAAGCTGATCAAGACGTTAGAGGTGAGTCACGTTGAACCGATTAAACACCACAATATTACGTGTATGTCATGTTTTCGTATCGCTGCATGCTCGAACATGCCCGTTTGATTTCTGTCTCGCGCATTGCTTGTGGCTGCACAGAGAAATGGTATCACGGCGGGAGACATCAAGAAGCTACAGGAAGCTGGCTTTTACACTGTGGAATCGGTGGCTTATACGCCCAAGAAACATCTCATCTCAGTCAAAGGCATCAGCGAGGCCAAGGCGGACAAGCTCCTGCAGGAGGCCTCGAAGCTGGTCAGGATGGGTTTCAGGAGCGCTACAGAGATACACCAGATGCGTTCCAACATCGTTTATGTCACCACTGGATCAAAGGAGTTGGATAATTTGTTGGGAGGTGGGATAGAGACAGGCTCCATCACGGAGATCTTTGGGGAGTTTAGATCAGGGAAGTCTCAGTTGTGTCATACTCTGGCTGTCAATTGTCAGTTGCCAGTCAGTATGGGTGGAGCTGAGGGTAGGTGCCTTTACATAGACACAGAAAATGGTTTCAGGCCAGAGAGATTGACAGCGGTGGCTGAGAGATACAAGATCAACGGCGACTCAGTCCTTGACAATGTCGCCTGTGCCAGAGCGTTCAACACCGATCACCAGACTCGGTTGGTGGTGCAAGCCAGCGCTATGATGACTGAGGCCAGATATGCCCTGCTGATCGTCGACAGTGCCACCAGTCTGTACAGAACCGATTACTGTGGCAGGGGTGAGTTGAGCGAGAGGCAACAGCACCTGGCGCGCTTCCTCAGGATATTGCTACGAATTGCGGACGAGCACGGCGTGGCGGTCGTCATAACGAACCAGGTGGTTGCACAAGTCGACGGCGCGGCCAGTATGTTCGGCGGCGACACGAAGAAGCCAATCGGCGGCCACATAATCGCGCACTCGAGCACCACGAGATTATACCTGCGCAAGGGCAGAGGAGAGACCAGAATATGTAAGATATACGATTCCCCGTGCCTGCCAGAGAACGAAGCAACGTTCGCCATTTATGCGGACGGAATCAGCGACGTGAAGGAGTGAACTTGTTCATTACACGTACACGTTATAAGCGCAATACATTATTAGGTTGTAAGCGCTGTGACGTACAGAAATATGTAAATAATGAAAGCGGTAAGCAAATCGACAGTCGAGGATGTTTCTTACGGTCTGAGAATAATCTATCGCGACTAGTCAGTTTCCTTAACGCTTCAGATCTGATTCCATAACTCACTTTAAGTTAGACAATCACATGTTGCATATGCATAAGAAAATTATATCAGACACATTTTTATATTAGATGTGTCCATTATCTCGTGTATACGAGATCACGATTAATGCAATCGTGCAAGCTTGTCTGGATAGGCCTTTAACGAGTTAAACTCTGATTAGAGTAAGTTGTGAAATTAATTGGACTTGTCTCACTGCTTATGTTTTTCTGTGCGTTATCCTCATTAAATTATTTTCTTTCATACATTAAGTATGGGTCCATAATAGATATAATATTAAGCCTTTAGTTTTATGCTTTCCCTAAAATCCCTGGCAAAAAGTGTTCTCCTTTTATTCTAATGGTTGGAATTTGGTCAACTTGTTTAAAGATTAGAGATTATGATTTTAAATAATAGGAGACGTTTTTAATAAAAAAATTATGCACATTTTGCAATTTTGCAATTATGCAATTTTGGGTTTAGAACATAAGACTGAGGGCTTCCCATACTTATTGCAGATTTAGCCGAAAGCTCTAAACTGCTCGCTGCTGCAATCTTGATTTATGATGTTGGAAGAGAGAGCAAGAGAATACATTAAAAATTATTGCAAGAACCAATATCAAAATAAATTGATATGTTCACAAAATAATACTTGCAATCAATCGAGTAAAATAGTACGAACATTTTCCTTTTACTCTAACTCCTTTTACTCTAAATTAGTAAATAGCTGTAAAGTTAAATTAGTTTATGACAAAATCATGAGAGAAGGTAAGCTATAGAGGAAGGTTGCATGTCACATTAATTTTTCGATTATTTATTGATTGAACGAAAGGCAAATTTTTAGACTGTTTTACGAGTTTACTTGATCAATTGCAAGTGTCATTTGATGAATATATTTTTTCACTTCAGCATATTTTGCAAGAACATATTTTCTCGCTTCTCGACGTCATCAATCAAGTACAATATTCGACAAGGAACTAGGAGCTTTGATACGCGTACGTTGGATATCGTTTAATTTACGTTACCATTAACGAGGGTTCCTCATCTTGTAAGGAGCATTGATAATTGGATGTAATGATAATTAGATGTAATTTAGCATAACTACGAAAGAGAAGAGAATATATGTATATATTTTTTCTAAAGATTTTATGTGCATTATAAGTGCCACTTGCAGACATTTGATGACTAAGATGACGGTCTAATTATTACTACAATGATTATAATAATTAGATTGATGTTGTCTGTCGTGGCTTCTCTTTCTTCTCGCAATAAATTGCTGATTGCTATATTTGAGAGCCGATTTCAAATTTTTTTTCCTTTCCTTTTCTTTAACTGAATTCAATGAGCTTCGAGTATTTTTCTTCTTCGCTATTCCAAGTGAAATTTTCTGGTAAAATTTGCTAAAACGAGGTATGCTTTCCTCTGGGACAGCTTACTTTCATTTCTGCTGGATGCAAACGTTAAAGCTATTCTACAATTAATAAAATAAGCGTGATCGTGAACGTAAAAGCCAATCCGAATGTTTTATTTATTGATTGTTTTATTTTGATTGATTGTTAATAATTACGACCACGCAACTGTGGAATGGACAGTTTGCACACTACGACAAGAGGCGTTTTTTCGTTTCGTAACCACGGTAGCGTGTGGTTGGTTAGTTTGGTCCACTTAACGCTCGCAACGCCGCGAGCGTCATTCTATCTTTGTTGCTCGAGGTGTTGCGATCTAAAAGAATATGCCAATAGGATGTAAGAGTTCACTGAGCGCGTAATGAGCGATTGTAGTACAGAATGAGCGCATTATATCTGCGTTTACGCATGCGTGTTACTATCGTTGTCGCGTCAGTCTGTAACCGAGCACTAGTAAGAAGACTTGGGGAAGAGTTTTCGATATTTTTTAAACACGTCGATAATCTTCATGCATGTAAATATAAAGAAAACAATATTTCGTTGGTTGTTACATTTTGAGTGACTTTAGCTCATGTAATTCTGAACAGAAAAAGTAATTGCGTCTACTTAATAAAAGTAGCTCTCAATTCGAAGCATCTCGGCTCTCAACTTTCTCTCGAGCGTGCTCTTTCAATTTGCCGGCATGTCGCAACATATGTGGTCTATGAAAGACACATTTGAATTAATTAAACGCTATAAGGCAAGTATGTTGTGGGATTCAAATCACTTGCATTATAGAGATAAAACATTAAGAAGCAAAATGATCAACAATATCGCATCAGCTATGAACGTCTCGCCAAAGGAGGTTGTTAGAAAGTTGCACAATTTGAGGTGTCAGGTGAGCAAATGGTAGTTGAAGATCTTTGTAAAGAAACTTTAGATATATTTGTGTTTTCTATTGCTGAGCTGACTGCACTAGTTTGCACTAGTTCTCTTCTCACCCTTTTTTTTTTGTTAACAAATCTTAACTGTATACCTGTTTCTTTTTGAGTTCTGTAGCTGTATACATTAATTAAGCGATAAAGAACAGAACTTTCATAAAATGCTCTGTTACTTGTATATTATTTTAAATCTGCCATATATATATGTATGTTGAATATATATATATATATATATATATATATATATATATATATATATATATATATATTGTTTTTTCTTCTAAATTTATATATTCAAATATAACTATTTGCTAAAATATGTACATTTTAATTTTTGTTGCTTATTTTAGTTAAGTGAACAAATAAGGAAATCAAAAAGTTATGTGGGATTTAAAGGCAAAATTCATACCAGTAACTGGTGCTATTTTTCAGCAATGAAATTTTTACTACCAGCTATAAATAACGCACATAGAATTAAAGTAAGTTGTGACATATATATATATATATATATATATATATATATATATATATATGCATAGATGTATAAACAATTGAGTAGTGATAATATAGACAATTCTTTAGGTAGAAATTAGAATAATTTCATTTTATTATATTGCATAAATTGTATTTATTATTTTATATGTTCAACAGAAACTAATGGAAGAAGCAGATTCTGAAGAAAAGAATACAGAAGAACATGGAAATTTGGAGGAAGTAGAGGAAAAATATGAGACAATTCCTGCAAAATTTTTAAGCGATACCTATAATGAGGAATTGAAACATTCGTTGATGTTTTTACCTAAAATACCAGAGGAAGAAAGGAATGCAATGGAATTTGACGGGTTAAAAGAAACATATGAGAAGAAGAGTCATGACAAATATGTAAATTTCGGCTACAATGAAGAACTGACACATTCACTGCGAATCGTACCGAAGAACGATGATGATAGGTTCGGCGAATATGTGGCGTTAGAATTACGTGGTTTGCGTTCTGATATGAATAAGAGAAGATTAAAGAGCGAGATTAGAAAAGCAATATGCCGCATTGTCGATTTCGACGAAGCCAACATTTTAGCCTCGAACGTGCAATCTGAACATTTATTCCCGAACGTGCAGTCTGAACCTTTATTCCCGAACGTGCAATCTGAACCTTTATTCCAATATACACCGTCTTCCCCAAAATGTTCACAGATATGCGAGATAACTAATGTTAAATCCGAAAATGCATAAATAATGCAAGTAGAATAATTAAAGATTCGAGACTTCACTAATTTATAGGCTTAATTGCAATTTGTAAGTAAAAAATTTTGTATCTAATTTATGCGGGTGTGTAGTTTCTATGAATAAGTTCACGTGGAATATTGTAAAAAATGATTTGAATCATACACATCATCAATATGCACATCGTGTGTATGTGTACACACACACACACACACACACACACTATGTTCAACATATATTTATTATAAAATATCGTACATATATCGCTATATCGTACATTATCTTACCGTAATATTTTATTAACCTTTCTACAAATGGCGTGTTTTACATGGTCGTTAGTTAACGATAATATTGATCAACGTTCACAGCATCGTCGATACGCAAACGCGGTTCGATTAAGCGTTAACGTAGACGCTTTTGAAGCGAGATCAAATATCCCTAAGATATAGCGCGTGTGTAAAGAGACTATAAGATGTTAAATTAATCAGTTCTATTGAATCGACTGTGGAATACTGTATGTACATTCGCGTGGAATCTTACGATTCTCATGGTAAAAATTATCATCTGATCACTTTGGAAATGTTAAACGACTTTTAATAACAGAATAATCAGTCATGGATCCATGAGGTTCACCGCGGAAGGACGAAGATTCAATTGATATTCGCCGAAAAGCATGGCTGCTAACCATCTGTACTGGTCGTCCTTGGACGTACCCGCCAAAGTATTCCCGAAATACGGGCTGTCCTTACATCTGGAAGAGAACGAACAAACTTAAAACACTCATCCTATTTTTCAGAAACATCAAAGCGTATACTTAGAGTATTAGTATCAATGAATTATTCAATAAGTGGAGAATTTTGATATTAGTGTCAATTAATTTTAATAATTGAAGAATTCTGGTCCATCCATAAAATCAGCTGATAATTATTGTGGGGCAGCCGATATTTAAAAATCATCTAATAATCGTTATCGCTGATTTAAAAAAAAAAAACTAGCTGATAATTGTTATGGGCAAGCGACAAAAATATCGATCAACAAATAATCATTATTGTATAATTTAATGTATATAAATCATAACGGTTACGGTCCCTGATTCTGGAATATCACGAAGTTTTAATGATTGGAAAATTATGTTCATCAACATTAATATTTGCAATATGTCCTTACCTTGTTGGTTTTTTGTTCTTCATTATGAAAGTGATGGACCAGCTATATGTCAAAAAGAAGAAAATATACGGTAATAAGTATGTTAATAATTTTATGACAAATAAATATTTTATATGATCAATTTGTTCTACACTGTATTTACCCCATCTGCGGGTTGCGTTTCGGTTCATGTCCCAAATACCAAATTATATCTTCTATCTTCCACTCGTGGAGTTTCACCGAGTACACTTTGTCCTTATAGCAACACAACTTCGCCTGATTGAACTCGAAATGGTACGTCCTCAGGTTTTTCGTCCTGGTATCAGCGAACTTGAGCTCCCCCGAGGTCGTTATGGGCGGCTTCACCTACACATAGCAGAGGGAATAAGGAGAGAAAACAAGATACGGAGATAGATAGACGTAGGAAGAAAGAGAGAGATGGGAAAAACACAATTAACTTCAATTGAACTGTATCCTGTTTTCGCGACGCGCGGAACACATCTTTCTACCCGCTTCTGCCTCGCGCAACTTGATCCGTGCGCGCAAAAGCGTGACAGAGCTCGCGCTCGTGTACAACCTTGAACCCATGTCACGTCGGATACTATAAATTTAGATCGTGGGAACTGCAGCACGCGCTTGTACGCGCAGTGTGGAAGTATGTGCTTATTGTGGCGAACGATTAATTGCTAGGATACAACGCGCGTGTCCCACACGTTCCTTTCTTTTGTATCATAGCACGCACCAGAGGCACGATGTCCTTGTACAGTCGGTCTTTCTTGAGGACTAGAATGTTGTCTTTCCTGTCTTCCGGATCCCAATATCCCCACCTCGCCGCTGTCTCTAGGACACGCTCGTTGTGATGCAACGGTCGCTCCAGTGCGCCGGACAGCGTGTACTCCTCTAAACACAACTCGTGAGCTGGTAAGTTGGCTTTCTCGCCAAGTTCTCGGCATACGTCGAAGGCAGTCTTCTGAGGTCCGATCTAATCACAGAAGTAATTGTTTTAATATTTTTTGTTTATATTTTTTGTAAATGTTTTTGTATTTTTTGTTTATAGTTGTTTCAGTTGAATAACCGCCGCTAAATAAATTTCCTGCCATGAACAATATGCGAAACACTAACAAATATATCAATAGTTAAGTCGAGAGTACTAAAAATAAATTCCAATGAACAAAATAATGATAGTATAAAAGTTCGTCTAAATGATTTAAATGAAAGGAGCCCTTTGAGGCGAGGAACCTTACGGTGACGTTCACACATTCCCCATTCGGCGACAAGATATATATCCACATCTTCAAATCGCCCGAGGGCGCAGCCCGCGGGCCGTTGTTGGACACGTGATGCTTCTCCAGAACCTCTAGCATCTTCGCCTCCTTAGCCAACTCGGCCGGCGACAGCTGGTAGAGTTTCGGATACAACCTGATGAGATCGCCGATGACCTTGGTCTCGGCGCGGTTCCATTCCTCAGCGCTGTTCTCACCCGCGTGCATCAACGTGGGGCCCCAGACTGCGGACAGGTTCTCTACAGTCATCAGGTTTCTGGCGCTCTGCTGACTGAGGCCGTGCAAGTGCGCCAGAATTCGCCTCAGCGTCGCCGACGTTACAGGATTGAGGATGGACAGTAATTTCTGATAAGTCGCTACTCTGTTCTCCTCGCTGGTCGATTCTGCAAAAAATAGAAGAGATAAATACCCGTCATAGGGAATAACGCGTTACACAGTAACTTTCCAATCCTAATGCTTATATTTTATTTTCCTCTTCTATTCATTTCATAGATTGTACTTCTATTCTGTTCTAGATTTATTGCAATAAGAAGGCGAATTTCTTCATACCTACGGCGAGGCAGAGTCGATCGTGAATATTAGCCGGGAACAATGGGTCCGGTAAATCGCGTAGGAACCTCCTGAGAACAGTGGCGACATCGTGCTCCGTGTACGAGTTCCGTGTGATTTGCGTGGCCCACGCGTCCTTCCTGAAAGCCTCCAGCAGTCTCACTACGGCACTGCTCGATCCGCTGCGACGATAAATGCCCTCTGACATCATGCCTGAAAGATAAGGGAGTTATGAGAAATACATCTCATAAGTTATAACTGTACGACGTCGCGCACGCAAACACAATCGGAGGCACGTCGAGGAACTTGAACACGATTGATTATCGCGTAGGGTGTTCTGTTTTCGCTTCGTTCTCGCACGACCAACGGCTACGCAAGTTACCGTTTCGTCGCGCCGCATCGCGGCACGCGACTCAGCGTACTCGGACAATTATTTTTCTCCGAAGTCCCAAGAGATGACTCATTAATTACCGTGCGCGTAGATAAAGTTGACGCATTTGTCTAGGATGACCGGCACGTTGTCCTGCGTGATCTGCTGCTGGTCTAAGGCGGGACCGCAATTTGTAGCGGCCTGATAAAGCGCGTGTCGCCAAGCGAGTGCCTCGTTTTTCGCCGGTGTGGCGATGTGCAAGGCGCCGCTGCCTCCCGCGTCGACAACTACCACAGGAACGAGTCCGCATCCGCTAATCGGTCCTTCCTGTTCCCGCAACACTGCAATCAAACGTCAAATGAATCAGTCGTGATCGAGCAACTTAGCTCATCGTCGCGTTCGCTGTAATTGCCAATGTAATTATGTGGGATGCGCAAAGAGCTGTTCGTCGCGTTTGAATCGCGCGTAACGACAGTTCCTCCGACTTCTCTTTGGCGAAAACGGTCCTCCGGAATATAATATCGGTGCACTTGTGCAAAGTAGGACACGTCTGCTGTATAAGCAAGACGACGCGAGTTTTTATTTTAGCGAGTCGTATCGGTATTGAGTCATTGATAAGACGATAATCAGACTCGTGTACAATATAACGAGGCCATGTCTTTCGTCTATCAGTAATCGTGGTTTGGAGAGAAAGATTAATTGGTACATAATGATAATCTCAAAAACTAGTATCAACGTTTATCTCGGAACGAAACTCTGTTCACTCTATTCGAACTCTATTCGTTCACGGATTTAAGTTTCTAAAAGAGAATCTAAAAGTTGTATTTGTTTCAGACGCCTCTTAAATTTCTATATATCTAAGACGAATCTTAGATATTTGTGCTTTCTAGAAATGAACGTGCTAAAAAGTGCAACAAACGTATATTTATATCTTATATAAAGGCTCGTCTACAATACGCAGAGTGAGTTTGGCGTAAATTAAAGTGAGAATTAAAAATAATTCATTTCGCCCACGCGTTTATGCTTTCTCTTCGGAAAGTATTACAAATATATCAGAAGTATTTATTTTAAGTGAGAGAAATACTTTCAGTGTAAAGAGGCTAAAGTATATGGACGTAAGTGAAATAAATTACTTTTATTTCTTACTCCAACTTTTATATCAAACTTACTCTGCGCGTATTGTAGACGAGCCTTAATTATATCTATATTTATATCTTAAACTTTTAACCCGTTTCTAGTTGCTTCTAGTCGTAACACTTACCGATGCAACGGGCTTTTCGCAGATCTACTTGCTCAAAGTTCACGGCGAATGCAGGTTCAGAGGATTTCGTGTAAATTAGGTTCCTTTGTTGCAACAAGAGCCAAGCTGAGAACCACGTTCCTGTTACGCCTTCCTGAAGAAATGTACTAGATATATAATACATGGCATGTAAGAAACTTACATCCCACGTTTCTGATTTTTTTCGAGAAGGGCAGGTCAATAGTCAATTACCAACAATATGAATAAAGAAATATTCAGGACGATCGCGAAATTGTAGCAAAAGAATTTGCATGTCAGCGTTTCCGCTTACGCAAACAACTCGTAACGCGCGATTGGAATTTGCGAAAGATCAAACAACATGCTTCAACAAGACCAGTATCGCAATTCGTGCATTATTAAGCGATATAAAATTCTAACATACCTTAGAAGATGATCGAGGCAAGCTTGCAAATTTATTATAACATATTAATCTGAGGTTCTGATGTGAAAAAACGCAAGAATGATCGATTTCACATTAAAAATTCATCAAATCGTTGCAAATTACATTTACTGTTGCGCTATTTTGTTTTTCCTTCGCGGTAGAATTCCTCTTATTTTATCCTAATATTGTATTCCTCTTACTTTATGCTAATATGCTTGTTATTTTATACTAATATCTCACAGAAACCACTCGTATACAAATTGTATTGCGGTTTTGCGTACCTTCAGGTAAGTCCAACCTGCCTTGGTGAATTCGGCGGTGTACTTTGTGGGGAAGACCGGTGTGGTAGCCTCGAGAATTCTCTGGGCCCAGATTCGCCTCTCGGCGACGCTTTTCGCGTAGAAAACGTGCACGGCCGGTCTGTACTCGCCGTTAATCGCTATGCAATGCACCGTCTCGCCGTTCATGGTCCTGCACATTCCGAAATTACCTTCATCAAGTAATCGTGACGACCCGACAAGCAACTCGCATATGTGTGCCAGCCGATTACCAGCTGCGTGATGAGTCAAATGGAAGTAAAGATAGAGAGTGTTAAATATGGATTAAAAGTGCGGTAGGAGTGAAAAAGAGGCTGCTCATTAACGAGAATTCGTGAATTTCGAGATTTGCACAGAATGAATTTATTAGAAAAAAAAAGTCAGTAGTAAGGCGAGACTTTGGATAGTCATACGAGGAATAATTTATCATTCCGGCGTGACCAAGGTCAGGTCGTTACGCTCGAGATGCGATCTTCTCTCGTGAGATCCTTTTCTTCTCGCTCAACAAAGAGGACCTTGAGACAGAGGTCTTGTAGAGAGAGAGAAAGAGAGAAGAAAAGAAAAGAGAGAGAGAGAGAGAGAGAGAGAGAGAGAGAGAGAGAGAGAGAGAGAGAGAGAAACACAGAACGACTGCGAGGAGTCCCTTGTCGTTGATACTTTGAGATGTAAATTTATTTTCCGAGTAGAGTGAGTCACCCTATTATCCGGTACAATCAGCTACCGAATCCAAGTCGCGATTAGCATCCGCTTACTTGTTGCCGCGAATAAATGCGGGACATTTGGAACGACCTGTGCAATAAGTAGTCGCACTATTCTATAGATTTCTATATTTCTCTCAGTAGATTTTCAATGGATATTGAATAAAACCTTGGAAGAAGAGCTTATATTCCAACGAAAAAAAACGCGAGGCGAAATCTCTCGAAGCGAAAGATCAGCACAATGCGGTGCGTCCACTATGTTTATAAAGTTTCGGGGTGAAATAACAGACTCACTTGACGTCCTGCAGCAGATGAATACTATGTATTGCCTCCAGTTCCGCGGCTTCCTTCAGTGTAGACATACTCTTGTCCGTGTAGAACGATAATTTCCGATCCATCAATACTGCTGCTCTCGGCACGAGGTCTTTGGCCCTCTCGATACCCACACCAGATCTGCACGTGGAATATCGACAATTAACACGCTGATTCATGCATTTGCAGCCGGATAGAATATCATAAAGGCCAAGTCACACTAGTTGTTGTTGTTGATAATACTTGGTCGTGGAACTTACTTTATTGACCGCATTAGAGTAATAAACCAAATGAAAAGTTAAAACTGTTAAAGATATATATTAACGATTGTTCAAAACTGTTTGCCGGAAATGCGAACAAACTTCCAATGTTCCTTCCCAGATAACAAGGTGATGTCTAAAGACGTCAATAAGATGTCATTAAGATGTCATAGACGTCTTAATGATGTTTTTAGACGTCACCTTGCTACCTGGGTTGAAGATCACCCCGTTGCGTTCGAAAACTATTTGAGAAATGATGGGAGGCCAGTTAATTTCAGCTTTAATAAGGCCGATCCTCAATAAGTCCGATTCTTTACAGTATCGCGCAAATCACACTAGCAATTGACGATTGACGATTAACGATCAAAGATTGGAACTTGATCAATTGGAACAAAGCAAGCCAAGGCAAGCAAGCTGAAGCTCGTTGATTCGTCAAAATGTAATCTTTAAAATCATTAATCGTCAATTGCTAGTGATTTGGCCTTAAGCTTGCATATCCTAGGTCTAACCCAAACAACACAAATTCTCCAAAAAACGTTCTAAGGACATTTTTAGGACGAAGGGATATCATCAGAATATTTTTAGGACATCCTTTAAAGGTGTGAGCTGTCTGGAAATAGCTAATATCCAATAAGTTGATTAAACCTTTTACACTTTTAAGGCCCATTTATGAAGGCCGTAACCGTTAACTTCCCAAGGAGCGCCAATACGCGTTTTTAATGCGCATTCAACTGCATTGGCTTCGAAACTGCATTAATTGTGTGTAATAATATATTTACACATTTCGTAACAAGTTCTATAAAATAAATAAATAATTTTTTACGTGATACATCGTCAAACAACCATTATTGTTTGCTTACAAAAGATCTGTTCTTTTTCGTGAGATTTCCTAAACTGATGTATTCTGATACAAAAAGTTAAAGTTTTTTTCTTTTTAGTAGCTGTACTAGTTTAAGAAATTTATGCACACTGAAGCATAAGAATGAGTGCTTTTTATTGAAAAGTTCCAGTTGGAAACCCAACTGAGATTCCTACTGGGTATTTCGCCTAAGTTTCCTAGATGGGTTTCCCTGGTAAAAAAAGTTGATAGAGAACGATAGAATAAAATTCTATCATTCTATTGTTTTCTGTCGTTTTGAATATAGATTTTAGTTCGTGAATATACAAATGTGAATAGTATTTTATCATATACAATACGTATCGTCTGTGCTGTATGGGTTGTTTTTCAAACATTATTTTTTATTAAATCAATAAAAAATAATGTTGGAAAAATAACCCATACAGCACAGACGTTTGCAGCAACATTACTGCAACGTTTCAATATTGTATATTGCAATGTAATGTTGCAGAAACATAAATTGCAAAGATACAATTCGCAAAATACCAGCAAACAAGGTACGTGAAAATATTTTTTTGAATGCGTTGCCATAATGCACATTAAATGCGAGTTTAATGTGGGACAAATATGCGTTTTTAATGTTAATTAAAATGCACATTTAAAGCGTATTGTACACGCATTGGCGCTTCTTGGGTAGTGTGCAACGGGCATTAAGTGTAAAAGTATAAAAAGTGTATGCAATACGAACAAACCTATAATTACATTAAGATGACGAGAAAATGATTATGAATCATAATTAGAAAGCGAGTTTTTATAGTCGTTTTTTCATTATTTTGATGTTGTCATTTTCTGTTTTACCTGAGTATTTACTTCAAACTTATTATCTTTCGATTTTTTTCAAGAGCTAATTATAAAATAGAGCGCGATTAAAATTCCGTGGCTGTGCAGACTCAAATACACATCTCTTTCGCTCGCCCAGGTTTGCTTCTTACCTATACACCATTCCCCGGTGTGTGACCTGATTATGGGGGGCGTTGACCTTTGGTCTCTCCATTCGTGGCGATCTCGGAATGGATTCACCGATATGTTCACGAGTCCTGGACAAAAATTTACTACCGGTCTTCACAAAACTGATCACATTGGGCTTGATGGCATGCACCGCGGACTCTTGGCGCAGTTTCCTGAGCTTCTGTATCACACTGACTTTGCGGTGATCCTCGGCGATCCTGACACCGGACGAAGGACTGGTAACATTGCCCTCAACATTATTGACAGGTGTCGCTGTCGTCGTAGCACTCACAGCCGGTTTGGAAGACGTCAGAGACGAATTGTCTACGGGATTCTTCAGGGTAGGCTTCCTGGGAGGCACCGCAGGCTGCTTCTTCGTCACCAAGTGCGCCAGCTTCGGCAGCAGAGGTGGATTTTTACTGGAAACAGTCTTATCGGGTTGCTCTACGCCTTCCACTTCGTCGTATTCATTTTTGGGGAGAGAATCGAACCTCTTGGGCGGCTCCGGAGGGGTCAAACTGACGCCAGGATGCGTCGGGTCTTCTTCCTCGTGTTCCTCCTCAACGTCGATGCTCTCGTGAAGCTCCAAGGTGCTGCTGGCTCTGCTGGACGAATCGTTAGTAGCCAACAATGCCTCCAGCAGCATTAGGTCGTTATTCTCATAGTTGCTGTAGACGTTTTCGTCGGGAGTCCTCGCGAACGGGTCGAACTCGAAGAGCAGGGACTTGCTGCTCTGCTGCCTGGTGTCCGAGGGACTCGTCAGAGACGGCTGCCAGCTCTCGACCTTCGGTGGTAGCAGATTCTCGTAGATGGAATTCTGGATAGAAGCGTGGCTCTCGTTGGACGCGTAAGAGGTTCGATCTATCGTCGATACTCCTCTTTCACAAGACTTCTCCAGGCTTTCCTCCTCTATGCTGGACACCTTATCGATTTCATCGATGGTCTCGGGCTTCGCGCTAGGCGTGGTGTCGTAAAAAGTCCAAGAATCTGACCGCGCCAACTTCCTGGACGTCTCGGACTTGTCTTGCGACAGACTAACGTTGATGTCAGACAAGTTTAAGCTTTGGTCGGAATCGCTATCCTGAATACGAAGGAAGGATGCGAGTAAGATAAAAAGTAACGAATGCTATCTAGTCGAAAATCGAAACGGTCGCGTAGCTTGCTGGAAACTGACTAAACCATTTACATTTCTCCTGAATCCTCCAAGTGGACCCTAATTAGCTTATAATGACTGTTTCATTTTCGACTAGATAATGTCAGGAAAGAAGCGCAAAGATAATTCAAACTTAACAGGAAGGTTATTCACAACGGAAGCGATACTTGCGTTATCGCTAATTATATAGCGATTTTAGCACACGGCTAAATATAAAAATTGAATTGATAAATTATCAAAGAATACAGTAGATTAAACACAGAATTTGATATTTACAACGGAATGCCGAAATAAAGCCACTTCCGCTCGTTGATATCGAGAAATGTCGCGATAATAATAGCAATAACTAAGGGATTGCGTGAGAGGTAAGCAATCTGCGGCGGTTTTACCTGATTTCGCGCTAAACTGAGGAGATTGAACGACTCGGGGAAGTCCCGCTCGACTTTGTCGGACACCGTCGAGCTGAGAGTGTCGTATCGGCCGCTGCTTCCCGATATGACGGACTGCAGCTCGTCGTAGATAGACTCGTCCGGAAGCGGGGGTGGCGGATAAACCGGGGGCGGCGGACTGTGCCTGGCGTCGGACAGATCCTCTTCGTTCTTCACGCTCCTCAGATTGCCGCTGAGCGGACTGTAGAACGAGATGCTGCTGAAAATGTCGTCGGCCGGCATGGACACGCATCTGTCCTCCTCGACCGGGTCCTTGAGCTTCTTCGCGCCGGCCTGACTGACGTCGTCCTGGTTCAAGGACGACAGCCTGCGGGTCAGCAGGTTCTTCACTGACCTCTCCAGCCGGATGCTGGCGTTCCGCGTGCTGGAGATCATGGCGCGCCCCTTCACCGTCATCTTCTCCGAGATCTCCTCCTTCAGCTGGCGCGAACTCGTGCTGAGGCTGCGAAAGAACTCATGGTTGCCGCGCTGGCTCTCATTGGTGCCGGTCGACTTCAAGTCGTCGCTCTTCTCTGACTGACTGGACTCGCTAGTGGGACTGCTGGAGCGAGCCGGCGGTAAGGTCGGTGGGATTCTTCGGGGCGCCGGTATCGGCCTGTTATCGGTCAGGAGAGACCGTGGCTTTGGTATCGGCTTCGTCGCCATTGTGGCAGCGAGATTCTTCCTCGAGCCCGTGTCTTTTCAGGAAGAGAAATTCTCTGCTTCTATGCTTTGATATCGAGCCATTGATTCTGAAACGTATGAGAGTTCTCCCTTTGCTGCGACAAATGTAGCTTTCCGACTCATAGATTTCTCCAAGATAAGACTATCAAGCGTTGTTTTCTTTTTCATCTTCTAGTTAGTTTTTTGCATCTTCTAGTTATCAGGAAGACGAGCATTTGTGAGAGCGTAGCGTTTCCTCCGAGCTGCGTTCTCAGGCGAGAGCCGCGTTTTCCGAGCACCGTTATTTACTGAGCTGTTTGCTTGCAGGATTAATCAAATTGCTACTTCCCCACTGGATGCGTGACGAACAACGAGCGGCGCAAACGGAAAGGAAATTATGAATTGTCGACTAGAACCGTTTCGCGGACTGTGACTCATCGGTCCGAAAGCCGATACCGACGCCCATAGTTTCCGGCTTCTATTTCAACTGACCGGTGAGTATATCACGTCTATTGTCCGGTATCTGCACTTTAATTCCGTGCTGCATCTAACGTCGCTCCATCCTTTTCAGTTGCGTCTTTTGCGTTTAAAGTGAAAGCGTGTGCAAATAATATCATGCAAAAATTAACGAATCCACCAAGCAATGGCACGCTTTCGTTAATTTCGTTAAATGCCTGAAATACCGAGGAGAGAGACGGAGTGTTATTCATTTTTTCACTTTTTCAGTTGTCGTGGATTGTTTTACACAGGGAAGAAGGGAAGAAAGAGCGTGGCTATAAAGGTTTCTTATCGTGAAGCAGAGAAGCACCGCGCTTGTTCAAATAAAAATCCAATGAATCATTACTGACAGTGTCATCAACAAAACACCAACAGGCCTATCGGCTTCCTGAAGGAGGATTGATCTGTAGTGAGGTGCGATAAATCCGTTATCTCCTCTGGTTGTAACATTTCCAAGATAAGGAAAGAAGTTCGTGAATATCTCAGCTATTAGAGTGAATGAGAAAGTGGAGCGTTGAGGCCATGGACCGTGACTTTAGGTAAAGCGAGTTGAAAGCTTCGACAGCGATTTAATGCTTCTCGAGCGATTTAATGCTTCTCTGAAATTAAGCATTAGCGAGCATATTCGTGTATTTTAGATGTCGAGCGAAATTTCAATTTATTCGTTTGATATATTGCTTAATTACGTAACTGAAAATTATTTAATTATATAAGACGAGATGCGCTTGAGTCACACGGGACAAACTCTTTGAAACATGCAGTTCATTATGTAATGCTTAGAAAGTATAGCGCCGTTATAATTAATACACACATAATGCGAGTTTCACAATACGGCTCGCGAACAAGTTGCAGACATTTCGCGCGCACTGTCACTAATTATTATTATATCAGGAAACCTGCATACAGCACGGTCTGCTATCGTGCCTTGTGTACTAGGGAAAGCATTTTTACAAACCATATCGCGAAATCATTATTAAATGATACCGTTAGCACTAATACAACTAATCCGGAGTCGATCTTCACATAAAATGAATTTCGTGAAAAAAAATACACGTTTTGAAATTTTTATTTCAAGCAACGGGATCGACAATAATTTCCTCGAGGAGCATTAAAGACGAATTATATATTAATTACGTTACAATTAAAGCGTTCAAAATATTGAAAGGATGTGATTCCGTCAAATTGTATTTTTAAGCAATCGGAAAGCTCCTCGAGGAAATTACTGTTGATCCCGTTGCTTGAAATAAAAATTTCAAAACGTATATTTTTTCACGAAATTCATTTTATGTAAAGATCGACTCCAGATTAATCGTATTAATGCTAATGGTATCATTTAATAACGACGTCGCGATATTGTTTGCAAAAATGCTTTCCGATTTGCAAACAATATCGTGACGTCATTATTAAATGATACCGTTAGCATTAATACGATTAATCTGGAGTCAATCTTTATATAAAATGAATTTCGTGAAAAAAATACACGTTTTGAAATTTTTATTTCAAGCAACGGGATCGACAGTAATTTCCTCGAGGAGCATTAAAACGAATTATATATTAATTACGTTGCAATTAAAGCGTTCAAAATATTGAAAGGATGTGATTCCGTCGAATTGTATTTTTAAGCAATCGGAAAGCATTTTTGCAAACAATATCGCGACATCGTTATTAAATGATACCATTAGCATTAATACGATTAATCTGGAGTCGATCTTTACATAAAATGAATTTCGTGAAAAAAATACACGTTTTGAAATTTTTATTTCAAACAACGGGATCGAGAGTAATTTCCTTGAGGAGCATTAAAGACGAATTATATATTAATTACGTTGCAATTAAAGCGTTTAAAATATTGAAAGGATGTGATTCCGTCAAATTGTATTTTTAAGCAATCGGAAAGCTCCTCGAGGAAATTACTGTCGATCCCGTTGCTTGAAATAAAAATTTCAAAACGTGTATTTTTTCACGAAATTCATTTTATGTAAAGATCGACTCCAGATTAATCGTATTAATGCTAATGGTATCATTTAATAACGACGTCGCGATATTGTTTGCAAAAATGCTTCCCGATTGCTTAAAAATACAATTCGACGGAATCACATCCTTTCAATATTTTGAACGCTTTAATTGCAACGTAATTAATATATAATTCGTCTTTAATGCTCCTCGAGGAAATTACTGTCGATCCCGTTGCTTGAAATAAAAATTTCAAAACGTGTATTTTTTCACGAAATTCATTTTATATAAAGATTGACTCCAGATTAATCGTATTAATGCTAACGGTATCATTTAATAATGACGTCACGATATTGTTTGCAAATCGGAAAGCATTTTTGCAAACAATATCGCGACGTCGTTATTAAATGATACCATTAGCATTAATACGATTAATCTGGAGTCGATCTTTACATAAAATGAATTTCGTGAAAAAATACACGTTTTGAAATTTTTATTTCAAGCAACGGGATCGAGAGTAATTTCCTTGAGGAGCATTAAAGACGAATTATATATTAATTACATTGCAATTAAAGCGTTTAAAATATTGAAAGGATGTGATTCCGTCGAATTGTATTTTTAAGCAATCGGGAAGCATTTTTGCAAACAATATCGCGTTATTAAATGATACCGTTCCTAATACGACTGATCCGGAGTCGATCTTTACATAAAACGAATTTCGTGAAAAAAATACACGTTTTAAAATTTTTATTTCAAGCAACGTGATCGACAGTAATTTCCTCGAGGAGCATTAAAGACGAATTATATATTAATTACGTTGCAATTAAAGCGTTCAAAATATTGAAAGGATGTGAAATTCCATCGAATTGTATTTTTAAGCAATCAGGAGGTGAATAGTCGTTACATTCACGTTATTCATTTAGTTTATCGAAAATTCTTTAAGATATTGCATTACTCATATCGCTCAAATTACTTTTGGAGCGGAAAGAAAATGAAATCTCCCCAAAGTCACGTCCTTTCGACGTTGAGAACGTTGCGACTGTTGAATTTCATGAGACACACACTTGATGATTACGCTCTAGGAATGGAAGTCGTCACGTTGTCCGGAGACTACGAATCCGCTGTTCTACGCAGGTCAGAGACCCACCTGGTCGTTGCCACTGTCACGGTACTGCTCTCCCTTCCTGCCCTTCTTCCTCTCGATCTACTGCTCCCGTTTCCTTCCCGTGAGTCGGTCTCGACGGTATTTTTATTCCGATCACAGAACTCACGCTTATACTCTCGTATAGGAGATCTCCTTCGGGTCGTCTCTATGCGGGTCAACACGAGTATTTCTCAATCAACGTGACGTCTGCCCCGATGTAGGTCCGTCGCTACTTCTTTCACTATCACGTGAGTCATTATTATTCGCGCGCACGTACATGTGTCGTGTAATCTGTGATATTTTATGCATTTGCACGAATGAATCATGCAGCCCGCGGCTGAAATTACAACTATAGCACGAGACCGTGAAAAGAAAGCGAGCGTCGGAGCTGTGTGAGCTAAAAATAAAAGAAAGAAAGGAGGAGGGTGACGAAAGATTCGCGTCATTAATTCGCCGGTCTTAATTCAGCAGGATTCAAACACCCCGCCGTTATTCGAGGCAGCGGCAAGGAGGGGCAAGAGAGAAATAGAGAAGAGCCAAGAGAGTTCATCGCATCGGCAAGATCCTCGGAACGAAAGTCCAGTATGTATTGGCCGTGAGCGTTAATAAGTTAAAGAGACACTTCGCGCCCGCGGCAACGAGCGGAGAAAGACGCGCGCGCGCGCGCGAGCGCAACCGCTGACACATCGAGCTGTGCGCGCACACACACGCGCGCGCGCGCGCACACATACACGCGCGCGCGCAACAAACACGCCAGAGCGACCATAGATTTTACAGTTTGCCTGCGCAGGTCTCTCCTTTCTCTTCGTAGAGCTCTACGTGCGCTCACGGAGCATGTTTCTGGGATGCTGCGAGTTCCGGAATCTCGGGAGCCCGTTCTATTCCTGCGCCGCCGGGCCCGGATTTCGCGCAGAACGTTCGCGGAGAACGTACACGCTCGCGATGTAAGAGAGACAAAAGTGGTGGCGCGATAAGATAAAGGCAGCGCGGGCCAACGCGGTCGTCACGCGAACTGGCGCGTCGGCTCGACGGCGCGGCTCATGCCTTTGCACTGACGGCACTGACGCTACTCCGCTCGCGTCACCTACACGTCGCTCTCTTCTCGCCGCCGCTGCTGCTGCTGCTTGAGAGGGGAGAGCGGACGGAGGAGAGGTGGGGAGGGGCAGGCCAACGCCACCAATTGCAGCGTACGCCGATGCAACTGCACGCGGTTGTGCCGCGCCGTTGCAGTCGCCGTTGGCTGCGATAAACAGCGCGTAAGCGCATTCTCTCTTGCGATCGGGCCGCGACGTTAGATACTGAAATTAAATCGTCTTTAATGAGACGTGCGAGCGCGATACTCCGCGACAGGCCGATCGCAAATAAACACATTGTCCTACAAAGGATATTTTAATGAAACCTTTATTAAGACTTTTATCGTGCCACAGCCGAATAATGACTTTGGCTATACAAACAGGTAAACGTCTCCCCGTCTCGAGGGTCCTCCATGCAGATGCAACGATGTATCACTTGTGAAAAATGCTCGTAAGGTCGCACGTAAACTCCTCACGTTGCGGAGAAACGTGTTCTACAATTGTGTTTCTAAATTATAATTAATATTTCTACTGATAACGAGAGAACGTCGGCGTCTCGTTTGCGGCTCGCGCGATTGCCTGGGTATGATTTGGTACTTTTACTCGCGACATCTCGTCGGTTGACTCGATCGAATCAATCGTATTAAGATTTCTTTGGGGAGGAGGGAGGTATCTATAAAATTTCGATAAACAATTCTTTTCTTCTTCTTTTTCAGGGAAAGAGCGCGTCGGTTGCACCTGCACTGTCGAGCGACTTGCACGGGTATCTCTACTATCTTAAATCACAATGGTGACGACAAGTTTAACTATTTATTTCGTTAGTTAGTTCCTTAAGATTGATCGTTACATATAAGCAGGTACGCACACACGCACGCACACACGTGTTATGTTACCGTATACATGGACACGCGACGGAACGAGCCGTTTGATCGTCGATGATCCCGCAATAATTAATGCAACGATACAGTCGACGATTTTTGTGGACGGTGCTTAACAGACGACGCGTCTGCGTTAAGAAAGGTGAAGAGGAGAAGGCAAAAATATACAAGTGTTAGAAATTTTTGTGTAAGTTACTCGCCTGCTTTGCCTGTTAATCCTCTACAACCAAACTCCTTTGATTGCCTTTAAATAATTGACATTGAATAATTCAGAGATAGTCAAATTTTAATTTATAAATATTTCACTACTTTTAAAGGAGAAGTATTCTAACTTATAAGAAATAGGAACTAATAGGTACTATAAACAGATTATTTAGTAGCGATATTATTGCTTTAAAGTCGTAATGATATGCAATGGCGAACAAACAAAATCAAACTTCACATGGAGAGAATATTGCATTTCTTTTTTATAAAAATTCTTTTCCATACTACGTTTTTAGTGGTCCAAAAAAATAAACTGGCATTAAGGCTCCTAGTCCCCTCGCATTGTCTATCTCTTTTTAATAACGTCAGAAAACGTATGTTAAAAATTCTTACGAAATACGTTAAAATAAAAATATATATCTATAAAGTAACGCAATCGATTAAACAAATTTCTAAGATATTCCGTGCACTCTCCTTTTGCTCTAACAATCAATAATTTATTGTAAATTAATCTGAATAGAAATAGGCAAAAAAAATAAGTTAAGAAGATGAATTATATGTCACATTAATTTACGACAAATTATTGATAGAGCAAAAGGGGAGTGCACGGAATATCTTACAAATTTGTTTAATCGATTTCAAGTGTTACTTTATAGATATATATTTTTATTTTAACGTATTTCGTAAGAATTTTTAACATACGTTTTCTGACGTTATTAAAAAGAGATAGACAATGCGAGGGGCCAGTGCTGGGATTCTGTAACTCGTTATTGGAGATAACGATAGTTTCGTTATCGTTGCACAGCTTTTCTACGATATATAAAACGATAACGAAACTATCGTTATCTCCAATAACGAGTTACAGAATCCCAGCACTGGCCCCTCGCATTGTCTATCTATTTTTAATAACGTCAGAAAATGCATGCTAAAAATTCTTGCAAAATACGTTAAAATAAAAATATATATATCCATAAAGTAACACTTGCAATCGATTAAACAAATTAAACAATAACTAGTTACAGAATCCCAGCACTGGAGCCTTAAGGGTCGGTTTCACCAACTTCGGTTACGGTCAAAATTTGACTGTCAGGGTTCTAATTGATGGACAAGAATACTTTGTCATTCTTATCAATTAGAATTTTCAGTTGGAACCCATATCAGCTTTGACCGGAGGTGATGAAACCGGCCCTAAGATCTATCTTGCTAAGGAACATAGTAAATTTAGTTTAGAAACATAACAAGTGTTAATAATACATTTCAGGTTCTACAATATTAGTATGAAACTAAAGGACAATGAATTATTGCGGAACGTCGACCTATTTCTTACAAAATCCTATAGTAATTTTTACCATAAAATTCTTTCCATATAGGGAGAGTTACACATGGGTGTGTTGCAAGTTACATGGCGTGGTAGAGGGTCAACTCAACGGACGACAAGAACAAACGTTTCGATTACATTTCTTACAAATGTATGCGCGGAAGTGAAATATCTGCGCGCGAGATCATCGGCACCTGCGATCGCGCCGCGCGCGGAGTTTATATTCCCGCGAGCGACTCACTTCTATTATAATTTCCCCTTGTCGTCGTAGTAAGATTATAATTTATCGACCGGTCGATCGATCGCGCAGACCCGTAAGGTACCTACGTTTTCGGCGGCGCCGAAATGCTTAGGCCATAAAATCGTAAAAAAATATTCAAGCGCGAGTTCGAGCATCGCGTGGCGGGGAGTGTATTGTCCGCCACTTCTCTGATTTTTCTTCTTGTCCCTTTCCGTCTCCTTTCGTCGAGGATCGCGGGGAAAATTGGAACGCGCGTTTACTTTCGTATACTTGGCAGAAGACGGTGAGATCGCTCGCGGTCGTTCTTGCTTATTAAGAGAATACGTGGATGCGTGCGATGCGTCGCGGCTGCGTGAGACATTTTTTTCATTTTTATAAAGAGGAACAATCGACGAAATATCTACTATATGTCGGAACACAGAGAGACAATTGTTAAACAATACAGCTAGCCCCCCTCCCTCGGGACCGACAAGGCAGCTTCGTGCGAAATGTTTCTTCAGCGAAAATCGACGGAGTTTTCTCTCTCTTTTTTCTTATCTACATATCATCTACACAACATCTCTCTCTTTAAATGTCGATGGAACGGCAGTTTACCTTAACTTATCTCTGCGTCCGATCACGCGATCGATCCTAACATTTCCTATTCGAGCACTCGCGACTACATGCAAAGAAACCACACCATTTTAACTCGGCACATTTCTGCGTTATTAATTGACAATTAACATGTGAAGGTCTCGCGGGATTGTTGCCTTGCCGGCCGAGGGCTGAGATAAACGGCTCCTCTCCTCGCTTCTATCCAAATTAACGATAGGTTTGTGCGACGCCTCGTACCGATCTGTTACGCGAAAGAGACCAGTAGACACATTTCCATAAGAGTTTGAATATTTTTATAAGAGGATCAATAGCAAATTTACAAATTCCTGATATCGCGAAATCTGACATCTTTCGCTGTATACATTGTTATAGTCTTATACATTGTTTATAGTCTTATCGAACGAAGCGTATCGGACGATGAAAGATAGTTTAGATTATAAGCAATGAAATGAATTGTAACGAGAACATTTTTTTTCTTCCTTTCTTTTTTTGCGACGGATACGAGGCGTCATGTGGGTCTGTGTTGTGTTATTCGAAATCGTTGTCAGACTACAATAATAATCCTTCGAAATCGCTTATGTGACTGGAACGTGTGATTCGAGAGCGCAGGATAAAGAGAGAAAGAGAAAGAGAGAGAGAGAGAGAAAGAGAGAGAAAGAGAGAAAGAGAGAGAGAGAGAGAGTGACATAGAAAGTGTAAGAGATTAGTCCGAGGAAAAAATCTTTAGGCACACTCACACACATACACGTACATTTATATATTTGTGTATATATTATATTATGCGTAGAGCGCAAGAGTCTTTATTCTTTGGCAAGCAAAACGCGGCTTCGCTTTTACTTCGACTTCCTGCCGGATGTCCAATGCGAGCGTCAGCAGGGTGATGTGTCCCGTGTGATTTTAGTCCTTTGTGCACTTGTGTGTCATCGTATCCCGTTTGCGGAATAGAGAAATGTGTCAAATATGAGAGAAATAATTAATGATCGAAATGAGATCATCTTTATCTATGCGAAAGAGCGACGAATTAATTTCGTTATCCATACAATCTATATAATTGTGCAATAACAATGTATATGCGTTAAAATATTTTGAAGATCTGATAACGGTATCTGACACGTGTGCCGAAGGATGATGAGAGAAAGAAAGGAAAGATCGATCTACAAAAGGTCTAAGTTTGTGTTCGTGTCTATTTCGATCGGATTTCAGCAATGTCGATTTCGCAATCGCTTTGTACTCATGTAGCCGATCAAATGTCTCACAGAGGAAGATCTTAGAGGATTTCAGAAGAGCGAGTAATAAAGACCACCCTGCCGACAACGCCAGCTTCGCTCGTTAAACGGACTCTTACAAATTGCTCATTTTTCTTTGTCTTCGTACGTTTTCGCGCGATGTCAGTAATTATAATATAATCGTTACGTCATAATTCAATAGCAAATATATTATCACATTTAGATTGTATTAATTTTTAAGACGACCGGCTGGTCGTTCCACAACGAATTCGTCACCTCGCGAATCCGTATCGAATGAGAGAGCCTGCCATAATGCCCAATCTCTTTTACGAAATCTCCAGTATAGTGCTGTATCTCTTCTACGAATAGTGCGACGGACTGTTTTGCATTAGTGAACACAATGACGGAAAGATTGCACGAAATAACAGTAAGATTTTCCGATTTTCACGATGCAATAATGTTAAAAGCAAGATCTCCGGAAATATAATAACTCCTTCCCCTTGAGCACTTCACGCTTGCACAAAACGCTGAATGAATGTATAATTCCTCCGAGGTTAGACAGCACAAACGTCTGAAAGACGTCTGAGAGAAACGTTTGAAAGACGTCGTTTTCCAGACGTCTCGCAGACGCCTCCGGGACATATCTTTGGGACTTTTCCGACTTCTTATACTTCCAATAAAGTACCAATCAGTTTCAAGTGTTTGCGCAGCCATCTTGAGGTCAATATTCGCGTATTGAATCGTTTAACCCTTTTTGTTCTTTATCCACAATGTCGTCGACGGGATCACGAGATGACGTAAACCGCGCCGGTTGCGCCGGATCCCGACTCTGTGAGCTCTCTCTCTCCTTCGATTGTCGCACTCGCGGAGATCGCGACCGACGACGTTCGTCGTGGGCACCGTCCCGCCGGGGTTTAGATTTAAATCTAAGAAACATTAATATAGAATATATTATCGTGTAGTTTATATAAGGTATACGTTAAGACACTTACTGCTACAGCAAAAATTCAACAATTAAAAGATTGTAACAACTAGTTCGCGCTCGCGACGGACGGAAGCGGACGATACGTGGCTCGCCGCGCTCGCATTCGGATTCTCGCGCGGGAGAGACCCGCGGGCGCCGTCGAGCACCGAATTCCCGGTGCCTACGGAGGGAGGGCAGTAACCGAAAGAGAAGCGGAGGAGTTCCCTTTGGAAAATCAAGGGGGTGAAAACAAGATTATTATGCGCGACTCTGATATCAGATATCAGAGTCACATCCGAGAGTTACATACACGCCTTATATCGTACCTTAATAACATCTATAACATTTAATTTCTAAATAAAAGTGCCCAGTGTCTAAGGCACTTTCTTCCCCCTCCCTTCGTAGGTCAATTAAGCGAACGAGCCGGGAATTCGGCTCTGAAAGCGTTCGCGACTGTCCCGCGATCTTCCGGAAACGGCGAAATCTCTTTGGCCGCGCGCTTCGCGTCCGAAGCAGCTTTCTCCCCTCGCCTTTCCCCCGTAGAACATCGCTCATCCCCTTGTGATCGGGGTTGCTTTGGCACGCATTTAATTTTTTTTTTTTTTTGGTTTTTTTTTTGTTCGTAATGTTGGCACGGCGCCGCTTATCAGTTAATAAGAGCTCGTAATACAATAATGCGAATAAATCTCGGTCGCACACCTGAGACTGATCGTTCGGACGATACGATAATGAGGTGTCCCTGCTTTCGCACGCACCCCAGTAAGCACCGACTGAAAGTAATGTTACATCAATGTCCCGCTCGACAATTGTTACATACAACGTGTATGTCGTGTCGCGTCGCAAATTATAACATTGGTGTGACGTTACGGTTGGTTAGTGTGTAATGGGTTGTGTACGCGCACACGCTGGAGAGCTACGTTTTACGTGTCGCCCGCGCGAAATTTCGCGCCGTTCTTGAGTCCGTCTCTCTTCGGAATTCGTCTCCCGTTCTCTTGGTTTTCCTTCTTTTGCTCTTTCTTTATTACGTATAGGCTCCTCGCGACAGCCGTCCTGACGTGATTAACGAACGAAACGCTGATGATGCGAGTGCTGTGCCGCGCTCTTGGACGGAAATAAAAGAGTAAACGAGAGAGACAGCCGACGTATACGTAAGTGTTAACGGCGGACGGAGCCAGTCACGCTAATCGCGGACGTGTAATTAACGAGTAACCACCTTCATCGCGCGTATGTAAAAAACCGTGTGCGCGTTCGTACGATACATAACGACAAAACTATCTCGTGGCACGCGAGAGCGCTCCGTCCCTGATCGCCGCTAATGTGCTCGGCGATCGACAGTATTCGGGAACGCGCGCTCGGCAAGTATCCTCGGAACGGGCACGCGCGGAACAAACGCAAACGCGGAAAAGAAGACGACAGGTCTCGTTCACCTGCGGTCGGGTAGCGCACACCCTGCTGCTGTGTAAAAAATCATGCATATAAAAAGTCGCATTGAAACCCGCCGTATCGCGCACACTGAGAAGACGCTTCGTGCGAATATAAAATATCGCCTCGATACAATATATATCAGGAGCAAAGAATCATATTCTATACAGGCGCGCGTATTGTGTACACACGAAAACGCTATAACTCGTGATCCTGTCGACACGGTCGGCCGTGCGCGCACACCTGCGGTCCTTTGCATTCGGATAAACGGATTTGTATCTTCACACGTAATAATACACATTAGGTTGGTGCAAAAAGTTCGTCGTGTTTGTCAAATAGAAAAGGAAACGGAATCTTCCGACTCCACAGAACTGATAGTTTCTTGCAAATAAAATAAAGAACATAGATTCGATGTGTTTCTAAGTACCTTCAACGCGCGGGCACTATTTTCCTATTAAGTACCGAAACTTCTTACAAGAATTCAATAGAGAGACGATAAATCTCTCGCACCGATCTAACATGTGGCGTAATAACGTCTACGCATAATTGTAAAATCACGTTGGCCGCTACGACGGCGACCGCGTGCACACCTAAAAGTAATTGTACATTCAACCTTTAATGTAATATAATTGAAATTGATTTTATAAATCACAGTCGCTCACGTATGGCTTAACCCTAGAATTCACTTCATTTACGAGTCGGCACGCGGAATAATATCCGAGTATTACACTCGTGGTACTCCTATAGCTAACGAAGATATAACACCCAACAACGATGAGACACAATCATTCGGAACGCGATCACGTCAAATCAAGGGAACGGCTAAATTCGAATGCAAAGGATAAAAATGCGCCGGAGCGAAGCTTCGTGTGTGGTGCAGCTTCGACTTCGCATCATCGTATACCTCGTAGTCTATAGCATTAGCACGATCATCCTCGACGAGGCGGATTAAAAATCGTTTACCGACTAGAACGTATTTGTATGATACATTAAAAATTGACACATATTCCCATTTATAATAAGTATCGGCCTCGTACTACCTCGCCGCCTCTTCCTCCCCCTTCTGCACGTGCAAGCGACCGACTCACGGTCGGTCGTCGGGGACGGTCTCTGATTCTATAGAGAGAAACGTACACGAAATATTTCTACCGATCGCGAGGGGATGCGTCCAACGATCATTTTGAGTCTTGCCAGGAAAACGAACACGTTGTTTCTTCAAGTCACATTTTCAGAAGAGATTGACTATACGGCCGGTATATCAGGAGAAAGAGCCTTTTCCAAGTATAGTTTAACAACTTCCTCATCTGGCCTCTAGGCAGTGTCCTTTCTGGATTCGTTTCCATGAACAATCCAATTCATTTCCTCTTCACTCGTCACGTTGCCTCCCGTGTATCATCTCTCGCTTTTTGTCGTCGATATCAATTTTTTTCAAGTTTGTGATTTTTCCACTGAAGAGGATCAGATGTGACTGAAACGTTTGGGGGGGGGGGGTTGGATTTTTTAAAATTCCTTTCTAATTTTGACGATTCTTAATAGCACTAGACCATCCGTGCTTGGCTCTTCACGGCCTTTTAGTTTTCTTCTCATTTCCCTTTCTTTCAACCTGAAAATTGCAGGTCGCTCTTCTCCCTGAAGAAATGAATTGGACAAAGGCATTAACCCGAAAGCCAGATCAAGCATAGTTTAAGGGGATGCTAGAGTCGATGACGAACTCGGACAATGTCGATAATGCAGAGACGATCGTCACTAACATAATCACGTTATCCTTTTCGTATTTCTTATATATATATATATAACTTACATGAATATGTATGCTTTGTTTTATCATATTCAATGGAAAACCTAACCATATATGTGTAGAAATCTTTCTGCAAACTTTTTCGATATTCTTAAGCTTCCAAATGCAGATGCAAAGGTAGAGCAATGTTCTTCAAAATTTTTCTGCTTGGAGTAGCCACACTTTCGATATGTACAAGTCACGAAACTTTTGAATTGGGCAAATATTACGCTAACTGACAGCTTGAGATTTTACATTAAAAATTTTTTCTTCATTTTCGTCACATATCGAGCAATGCTCCTATTTATTTTTGCACGTACTTTCATTGCATAAAAGCATTTGTAATTCTGTGTAACCAATACGACGTAAACTTTGCAGAGAAATATCAGTGTTCTGTCGGTAAAGTTTTCAGCTTCAGCATCCCCTTAAGAATGTATAGATTTCTGAATCGACGGATCTATATGTGTAGGTGCTTGAATTCTGCGGATACAAAAAGTCTATATGTGCAAAACGCGTTAGGCGCGATCCCCCGCGATATAATACATACTCTATCTGCTCGCAGTCGCTATAATATAATCGTAATAACGCGTTGTTCTCGAATCGTTAATCGGTAATAAAACGACCAGCAAATTAGGCAGCGATAACAATGTGTTCGCATTAACAAGTACTTAACAATTACTTATAGTTTGGCGATTTGTGCGAGAGCGAACTATACGCTAGTACATAACGTCAAAACGAATCTTTGTAAAATAGCACCTTTCCATCCAGAGTTCTCGTAACATTGTCGTGTGCGCCCGATGATTCAGTCTCGATAATTATTGACCCGATATAATAGTGTCTCAAGTGTACATCTCACCGTGCGTGCGAGCATTACGAGTTATTACTCGAATCCGTCAATTGATACGAACAAAATTGCGATATGTAGATAGATCTCTAGTGACTACTGAAATTAAAATTATAAATTAAGATCTGACCTAATTAAAATTACAACTAATTTGAGTCGGAATTAAAATGAAGTCTGGAAAGTTCAAATCAAGATCACACAACATTGGAGAATTAAAATTTAGGTTGAAGTAGATTTTTTAGAGGTTACGTCAAAATAATCGACGACCAAGTAGCTAATGAGAGGCAATAAATCTTGCATCTTTATAGCGTCACGACATCGATACGAGAATCCCTGGAACAGCACAGAGTTGCAGTCTTAAACTTCGCTGAATCGTAATTTTTTTTAGTCACGGCGGTCAGTGCGAAGGAGCATAAAAGTGATGGACATCACACGTCGCGCCGTGAATCGTTTCTACTTTCAGTCTTTCTTCCGTGATCCTTCAGTCCTTCAGTCTACTGATTCTAGCACCATCTCGCAGCTTTTTCTGCTCGTTCGTCGACACTGATCGACGAACGGGCGAACGGTCGATCCGATCGACGGATCGACCGCGCAATGTAACACTTCGACGTTTATAACTAATGCAAGATCTCATTAGAATTCAAAGGTTACATTAAATTATCGACGTTCGCATGCAATTATCTATACGTTCCCTAGCGTCTAATAAGGGAAGCCTTGCCGATGCTGATCCGGAGAACAATCTACCTTCGATTATGTTTCCTGCTTGAGTTCCTCTTTTCTGAATCCACGCCAGTGGATTTTAAGCAACCTTCTCTATTTTTACCTTTTGCGTTATCTTATATCTCATCCGCTACATTTGTTATATTATCGCTAAACTGCGATTACAGTTGCCAACTCATCTTGTTGAACTCATCGATGCTCATCTGACCGTGATATTCTCTTGACAATTCGTCTAGACCGACTGTTTGTCAAGTTCAGTATTTCTACAAGGCTTCCCTGTGAATTCTAATTATCTAGATCGCAGTATTGACAAAATGAGGACGTGTGAGGGGCCGAAGAGCCCCGCGATCTTCCTCTCGCGGCGCTTCTGGGACCGCTGGCTTCTTCTTTGTTCTGCAGAGGCGTTTTCGCTAGTTCGTCACGTCTGGATTTGGAGATGGCGAGGACGCCGGACTCTGCGTCAGGCTGGTGTCCCTCGCCAACAGCGAGGGACTGATCAGCATGCCGCGCGGGCTGAAGGTGTCGCAGTAGAGATTCTCCTTCTTGTGTACTCGCCGGACATGGCTACGCAAGTTGTCGCGACGCGCGCTCCGGTAAGCGCAGTGCGGACAGAGATGCGGCTTCTCGCCTGTGTGCATGCGCCGATGTTGTATCAACTGGAAATGGTAAATATAGTGAGTTACATCAATAACGTATTTCCCGATTAATCGCGCGTGGGATAATCTATTCGTTCCGAGTGTATAATGTGTGGCAATATTATAAATTTATAATATTCTTCTCTTACAGGCAAATCTGGTTTAACAAAACCGATTGCTCATCTCTCTGAACTGAATAAATGAAATATGTAAGATTATTAGTCTCTTTTTTTTTCAATTTATCGTTTGTGCACTGACAAAATTACAGTCCCGTCGACGACGGACTGTACAGTACAAACGTACCTTCTTCAATTGCACTGTGCGAAAGATGCAGATGTCGCAGCAGAAGTATCGGTCGTCGCGATGCCTTCGCATATGCCTGCTGAGGTCGACTTCGGAGGACCTGTCGGCGCCGCAAACGGCACAGCTCACCCTAGTCTCCGGCGCCGTGCCCCTTGCGTGTGCTCGCAGGTGTCTCTGGAACGCCTTCTCGATCGTGCACGCGTACGAACAGAGCGAACATCGGTACTCCTCCCTCTCATATCTGCGCATTGCGAAGTGGAAATAAAATAGACGCGTGCGAGGAGTTATGCATTTAGTGATCATATAGAATCAATTTTGATTGACGTGTAAGATTTTTCGAAAGAATGAAGCGACTTAGTCTACGAGTAGTTATATAAAATCGTTCGAGTACCTATACCTGACGCGTTGCAAGGCCAACGAGCGTTTTTTCCCCGTTGGCGTCATCCCCTGGGCCACGTGCGCCGCCACGTGGGTCTCCATCTCGCATCTGCTGCTCGTCGTGAAGTCACAGCCCGTGGATGGACACCTCTTGGCCTCGCCGGTCTCCGTGCTGGATAAAGTTGGGTGGCAATCGGCTATGTGTTTCCTCAAGGCCGGCCTCGTCGGTGCTACCACGTCGCAGGAACCACAGGAGTAGCCGCGGTGAACACTGCTCACGTTCGGACTGCTGCCTCTTGACCTTGGTTAGATATATCTTAGTGTATATATTTCTTACACACATGTGTCATTCTCTAATCACAAGTGAGCACTGATTTTGAATCAGAAGCAATTGTAAATCTGCGTCGTTTAAATTAACACTCTACATACTTCTCCGTGTAGGACGAGTGCTCGCTCTCGGAATCACTTTCGGAGGCGACATTGGAAGCTTCTGTAGCTTCCAATGCCGCGGTGGCGGCGGAGAGTCTGCCCAACATCGCTGTGTACGCACCCAACACCCAGCCGTTCAGAACTGGCGTCACCGCTCCTTCCTAAACAATGGTGAGAAACTTATCAAAAATCTGCACAATATATCAAATATTTGACAGTTTATCAATTGTGAGAATTCAGGTCTGCTGAATATGACTGTAGATTTAACATATATTTAGTATACAAAAGAAATGTTTGCATCAAAAGAATATGAATTCATAAAAGCAATGACCCACCTTATCAAGGGCCAAGCATGACATTGGATCGGGTAGCTTCGTGGGTAGATTGTTGTTGGCCGATCGATGCGAACTGTTGGTGCTCCCGGTGTCGCTCTCATCGCCAGCGTCTTCGTTGTCATGATTTTCGTTCGGCACGTAGGTCTGACCGGCAATGCGAACGGCAGGCAAGTGTAATAGAGACAGAACTCACTGTTGCTCGTAACGCTTGAACGCACTGTTGAACGCACGTTGCATCGGTTTTTCACCGCTACATACGTGCATCCCACATAACTACATAATCGATCACCCAAAACTCGAGCGTGCACGAGCAGAGCGAGCGTCGATAATGAAACTTCAGTTATACGCCGCCAGAATAGTTTCAAGCGCGGCACCGCCGAAATACTTCCGAGCGAAAGTATCTCGATTTTCCGACTGTTAAAAAAGCTGTTAGAGCTCGGAAAAATTAGCGACCGCCTCCGCTTGAAACTACACATTGTTATACATTTTACACATTATTGTTATTGTTCTGCGATAGTTTTGGTATCGTTACACCGATCAGGTACTCTCACCTGGTTTTCGTTTTGATCGGACTTTTCGATGTTCCCTTCGTTGTCATCGCGTTGCGGAGTGTCCTCGGCGTTCGCGCCCTTCTCGGCATCTTCGACATCCTTGGACACGGCCGACGGCTTCGTGACCAGCTCTATGGGAGCGTAGGGCGGTCCAGCTGCCGTCAACGGCAGCGGCAGCATATCCGGCCGATGAAGGGCACTCAGGGCGAAGGCGGCCCTCGGTAGTATTTGCGTCGCGCCGGGAGGCAGAATCGGGTGCCTTCGGGCGAGACGCGGGTCGCCCCAAAGTTCACCCGCGACGTGAAGACCCCAGATCCCATATTCCATCTGCAAGATGGAATAACTGGTGAAAGGTATGACTCCATCGACAGTCACCGGCTCGGCGTGTTCATGAAGACCGATTCGCGATCCCAACTATCGTCTCGGCGGAGTCGAGCCTCAATTCGAGGATTAACAATCCCGGGATAAGAACAGGTTCGTGTCATTTACGAGGTTCGCTTTGAAATTCGCAGTCTGGACCTGCTTCATTGACGCGTGGTCGTAAAGGTTGCCATTTTACTCGAGATATTTATGAAGCAGACCTGATGCGAGATCAGATGTCGAAACTGAGAACAATTACACGAAGGACTCGAGTGTACAGATTAACGTAAATATCTGGAGCTTCGTGGATATCGTGTCGCTTTAATAATAGCAGTCATCATTATGTTTGTATGGAGCGTACGGTATAAAAAGGAAGAGTAGGGAGGAGAGAAGAGATTAGCGACAGTCCTCGAATCAATACTTGCTTCCAATTTTCAAGCAAACGGAATATACGTTATCCATTCCCGCGTGTAATCGCGTCTCGTGTTGCTCGTTCACATTTAATTGGGTCATTGAGGCGTATTACACCGGGATCCAATTCTAATTAGCGCTGCTTGTTTACTCTTTTTAGTACCCATTCTTCGAGCATCCGTGAAGAGCTCGTTACATGTTGTATGGAAGCTTTCGAGCGGAATATACGAGAGAGAGAGAGAGAGAGAGAAAATCGGTCGATGCGGATGCGAAATTGGATGATACGCGGGGAGTAATTTGATCTCGAGATGCAGACGACGTCGAGCGTCTTGATGTCGCATCTGAAGTAGGAATAACGACGGCCAGGGTGGCACATTATACGATCGCGCTTAATCAATTTCCCCCGCACAGAGTCCATTTTTCTCGTGTAACTTTCTTCTCCACGCGAGAGCCCTTCAAGCGCGAGACCAGACACTCTGTAGTGTTCCGTCCCAAACGCTTTTTTCGTTAATGTACACGATTCCTGAGTCGCCAAATAGTTCGTCTTCGCACAAATGGTACACGCTACGTGTGTACAAACGATCACGATCGCTCAGCGATCTGCAGCCAGTCGAGCGCAGTCGGATGTCACGAGTCCTCGTGCGTCTTTCTTTTTACAGATCGTTCTACTCACACCAATCATCGTGAGTCAAAACCATGCCATGTAACGCGAACAAGGATGAAGATGCAGCTTTTATACGGAAAAGCTGAAGATGAGCTTGGCGCGACCGGATGCGACTTGGCCGTGTTCTTGAATCTACAATCACGCTTGTCACGGAGATGTCGCGAGATCAATTAGGATTCTGGAATCCTCTCGTCCTTGCGGCAAAGCGTCTTAAGGTGATTTTCGCGACTGTTTCTTTCTCGTCACCTTATGAAAAGAGCGTATGACTAATTATACGTTATTGCAGATTCAGAAACTGGAAGAGCATTCTTCACGAAGTTGATTCGAAACAAATAAATGAATGATTTAGAGATCGAATTAAATATAGAAGAATTCCGCTCGGCTATGCAGTTTTGTATTGATTCTGCTCGGCAAATTAAACTCGCACAGTGAACTGTGCATGGGTTTAATTTACACAATCGTCTGTACATTATGTCTGCATGTAGCATTTCAAGTTTGCATTGTATAGACCAAGCAAGTACCGATCCATCAAGATCACTCCAGCAAGCGGATAAGAGAAGTAACGCTCTTCGTTTCCCACGAATTAGAAGCGAAATACCTCGCGATTGTACCTCGAGATCGGCGGTGCGAGAAGATCGGATCGAGTAATCGGCAGGAAAATCGCAAGGGGACCGAAAAGTCCCCCTCCAGGGACATCCCTATAGTGGCCTACCGCAACAATTCAGGCCGATCGTCATTACGCTGAATCATCCCCCGCCAGTCACCCCCTCTCGTCGCCGTAAGGCCGGGCCGATCTCCACCTTACCGGTCGACCGGAAGTGCACGCGCGTCGCGGCGTAGCGCCGCCTCCCCCGCTACACTCATGACGACGACGACGACGACAACGACGATGACGACGACGACGACGACGGCGATGATGACGATACGAACGACGGTAATAAGAACGTGACGTCGTCGCGATCCGCGAGTATCGGAACGAAGGAGTAACGCGAGTCCGGATACGTGCCGCCGCAGAACGAACGAACTCGCGAGATTCCTGACCATTGGACCGACCCTCGTGCATGCATACTTTAGCATAACGTTCTCTATACAATATCCAGAAAGAGGGAAAGAGACACGGGGGGAGGAGGGGTGAGAGCAGGCGAACGGGGGACGGAGTAGGAAGAGGAGGCGCGCCGAGGGGGAGGGCCTCCTCAACCCTCGACGGCTTCGTCCTTGCTCTCGCTCGTTCGCACGTGTCCTCTCCCTCGCACATCTGGGCCCCCAGGCGTCCTACCCCTCGTGCTGACCCCCTCCTCCGTTGCCTTCCCGCTCACCGTCGCCCCTCCGTCCTCCATTGCTGCCGCGAATCGATTTGTTATTGTTTTTGTGTCTGCGGTCGTCGTGGCGGATGGAGTGAGCGGGGTTATATCGAGGGCGGGCGGGTAGGTCGCGGGGTGGCGTATGGGGTGGGGTTGCCGGTGCTGCTGATGCTGGTGCTGCCGGTGGTGCGGTGGTGGTAGTGGTGGTAGTGGTGGCGGCGATGGTGTAGTAGTGGTGGTGGTGGTGGTGGTGGTCGCGCTCGAGCTTCGAAGGCTCGGCTTCGGTTTTCGGACCGGCAGAGAGGCGACCAGGGTGAATAAGCTGCTGCTGCTGCTGCTGCTGCTGCTGCCTGGGTGGCGGAAGGGGTGGCCGAGGGCAAGCGAAGGGTGGCGGAGGGAGACGACAGAGAAAAGGGATGGATACATGGTTCCGATCAGTGGCGTAGCCAACATGAAAGTCGAAAAACCGGAAAATCTCGACGTCTTCCCTTTCTCCTCAGTGTCCACGTGCGAGGGGGATGCACTTGGACATTCTTAGACATTCTTAGACATTCTACCCTTTTTCCCAAGAGACACAACGCGTGAGGTCGTCGTATATTTCCGTTGGAGCGAAATACGACTGCTCGTTTGGCTACTTGATATAATGCAATTCCGAGAGGGATCTGCAGTTAATCGGGGGAAAAAGGGTTGATCACGCCACTGCTATCGCTGCTGCTGAAAAGAGCGAGAGGAAACGGAGGGTTGAGGATGGAAGCTGGTACAATGACGAGGATGAAATCAGCGCGGGGGGGAGGGACAGGCGGGGAGAGCGCCCGCGAGGAAACGGACACGAAAGGAGGAGGGAGAAGGATTGCACGGGTTAAGCCGAGAGGGGACATTACGCGAAGACGAATGCGGGACGGAGAGGGTTGTGTGGATGGGATTGCATCCTCGTTGCCGAGGGTAGCGAAAAAGACAGAAAGAATGAGGAAGAAAGAGATAGAAATAGGAAAAGGAAGGGAAAGCAAGAGATAGTAAAAAAGAAAGACGGAAAGGGAGAGAGAGGAACGAAGAGGAGCGAAGAAGGGTGAGGGATGCACGAGTAGCAGGGGCGGGAGGGAGGGACATGTCGGCATCGGCTTGACAGGTGACAACCGATCGGGCCACTGACGTCACAGATCACTCGGCCGGGCACGCGCACGCACGCACAGACGACTTACGCGATTCGCACCGCGCGACGTGCATGAGGTCGACCTGTCGTGCGTCACACTCGCGTACACCCGTGCAACCACCGGCACGTACACACGCACACACACACACACATACACACGTTGCTGACGATCTTCGGCACGTCACGCCGCGTGACAAAAAGAAATCTCGCGAGCGAGGGTACGAGACGCGGACGCGACGGCAGGGGTGGAAGACGGCGCGGAACGGTAACGGGGTGAAAATAGGAGAAGACGAGCGCGAGACCAGAAATGTGTTGAAGCCAGAGGAGAAACAGGAAGAGGGTGAGCGCGGCAGAAAAGTGGGAGACACGACGACGGTGGAGCGAGGGTGAGACGCGCGAGAGAGAATTTTTCGTGCGGCCAATTTTGCGACTTATAATCGAGTATTTACCGGGTGTTAACCGGCCGATGATGATAGCCCCCGCGCGCGGCGCCTCTCTATCTGGTTACCATTACACTCGGATGTATGAAATGCGCCAGCGGCATACAACCATCCCCCCACAATAGCCCTATTTATGATTGGGCAAAATTGCTTTCCATGCGCAGAATAAAATCTCGCGCGCGGGTCCAGGAAAAATCCGCGGGGCGCGACGGGATGTCGCGCCGCGCCGTATTCCTGGCTGCGCGTCGTCCTCACGCCGTCCACGGCGACCGGGAACGCGTGGACAGGCCGGCGTGCACGGCGACACGGCCGCGGCCGTGTCTCGACGTGCGGCTCGTCGTCGTTTTCCGTAGATTTTTCTCGCCGTACATGCAGCCGAGATTCGCGACAAATTAAATATGGTCTACCGCGGTCACGTGCACATGCGGCGCTGCGGTCACCGTCCGCTCAGCCAATCGCGAGCCACACGAGCGCGCTTAGTTCGCGGAGAAGCCGTCGTCGCGCCGCGCTCGTCCTGTCTTGGCGTAGACTCCGGTTAGAATCGTCGAGACGTGCACGTTACATTCACTTGCATTCGTACTTACCTCTCGACTCTGATAACGATCATAAGATTTCCTCCTAAAAGCGGAACTTGAACAGTTTCATGTGAACTCGACTGCTGACCAGTGATTGTGTTGGCTTTTGGGACAATGAAAACGTAGAAATCTTCGCAAAAAAATTCTGGAAACGAAATATGATCTGCATCCTGGTGTCCCCCACCACCGTGGTGAGCGTCGCCGAAGGAGGTAGTCACCCTGTGACGACAGACACCAGAAGCACAAGGTGATTATTCCTCCATTGCGCAGTAATACCCGTTTCTCCCGACGTGATAACACGATATATAATTCTCACCTCCGGCGATACAATCGACAGAATTGACTGGCGACGAGCGTGAACGCGCATCCTCGCGTCTAAGCCGGTTCGAACCCAACCCGCGCCTCCCGCTGCTCTCCGAAAATAATAAATGCCAACCGACTAATGGCGCGTGGTGAAAGTTACCATGATTCAGCACCGATGGCGCAGCGTCGTTTGCGTCTGTCAGGTTGACAGCAGTGGCTGCCCGAGAGCGTTCAAGACGAGCTGTCTGATAGCAGGCCAGTTGGCAACAGACTGTCAAGTGAGTCGGTTGGTGCGTCCGAGTCACCGTCATACGTTGCTGCTCCGGAGGATCGAGACGCGCTTGCGGCGGCGTTGCGTCAAGTCCGCGAGTCCGCTCGTCTCCCTCGGGGGCCATCGTGATCCGAGCGACGCTGCGTCAACGATCAGGCGGCGCGGCTGCCATGGGGCCCGTGGAAGGGATCATTTGACCCACGGGAACGACTCCAGGCTCGGTGGGATCGTCGCGTTGCCTCGAGTGAGAGCTGCGAATCGGTAAATACGAGTACAACGTTATTGTCATTTATTATTGGCAATGTCATTGTTCGTTGTCGTATTTACGGCTCTGCCATCTGTTCCCTGACAGCGCTCGTTTCTTCGCCGTTCCGTCGCCTGCTCCGTTCCCGTTCGCGTGACGTGACGTGACGCGAGGCGAGGGCGCTCCTAAGAGAAAGCGTTTCCTCGCGAACGTAATCGCGGTCGATTCGCGGCGACTCATCGGACCTCGCGAATGCACACTCACGGCAACTGCGCCCCGCGCAAGCAGACCTCGTCGTCGCTGTGCGTCGGGTGACACCGCGAGAACACGCGAGTAGCTACTTTACTGACGTGCCTCGCGATCTTCCGACCAAGGCTGAAGACGCACGACGCGCACTCGACGTCGCGTATCGCCGTCGCGGAATTCGTGCCAGGTGGCTCGTGTCGCCTCAACGACGCATATTCAATTTCTCTCTCTCTCTCTCTCTCTGTCTTTCTCTCTCTCGATGACTCGCGATGATACTCACGAACGATTCGTCAGAGACAATGGGCTCGCGTACAACGTTCGTCGAGTTGTATCAGCTGTAGCGCACCGTGTCGCGCTTCGTTGGAGGGGGGGGGAGGATGATCATCCGGTGTATCGCCTGCACGCGCATTTCCTTGCGCGTCCGCGAGGAGGCCCTTATTGGGAACTTACTCGTTCGACTACTCTTCCGTGCTCTCCCGAATGGAATAATGCTCGAGACGGGGATGCATAATGACGCGAATCGCTGCGGATCGACGTGTAACGTCACCGTGTACGCGTGACGCGAAGGGCATCCCCGTCAGGTCTCGTCCCTTCGCCGTCATTGCGGCGCGTTCCAGCTGTTTGTGACAGCTCGCAAGGGAGTACCTTTGTGCTCCGCTCGCTCGCCCAGCCAAGGCTGACTATTATTCGTCCCCTATGCCCTCCTTCTGGGCCTCGGTCTCTCGCGACTGGATTTCGCCTGGCAACTGCGAGCGGACGCGAGAACGAACGTTTTGACCCTTTCATCCCTTCAGCGATGCGCGTCTTTCTTCTTTAATGGAGATGAGAGGAGAAAGGGCAGGTTTTTCAATAGGACTTTAAACTCGGGCCTAACAATGCGTTTCATGGGTATTTTGAGCAGAGTTTAAACTGGGATCCAAGTGATCCCAAGGGATTGAAAGCTATGCTGGAAAAATCGGTCCTAGCACGGCGAAGTAGTGACGTTCAGGCTTTCTGCTCGGGTCACAACTAGAGGCAGGCTTAAACAAAGAGGCGGCCAACTTTATTCGCGGCGAGTAGCAATCGCTGAAAGCTAACTTTGTTCTTTTTTCTTCGCCTTCTCGACGGACTTTGAAACGTGATGACGTGGAGATGTATTACGTTGAAGAGACACGATCGAACTGTTTTAAGTAGATTGGCGGTCTATACTTCGGCATGAAATTAAGACGCTTGTTTGGAATGTGATAAACAATCGCGCTTTGATAATATCAGCATGCCCGAGAGACGAATACTTGCGAAATTTCACTGTGACTTTGCCTCGGAGAACAACGGAGAAAAGATCAACCGCTTTGTACATTCGCGTTGTAAATCAACCGAGAGTTCCTCGCGCTATCACGCGAATGCGAATATCATCGTGATTTTAAGACAGACGCTGATTTATATATCATCTCGCGGACAGTAAGTTCAAGAGCTCGAAAAAACTTGCGCTGTTCTTTCCATAATTAGTTACCATCGCGACAATAAGTGATGATTAGTTATCATAATATTTCCGTGAAATCGTGTGAATCCCAACCTGAGAAACGAAGATGATGGATACATCACGGCATCTTTGAATAACCAGCCAGTTGGGATCCATTTTTGAATCTTTTACAGCAGTGTACCGCAGAGAGATGCGTCTCTTGGTCTCTCTCCATCTGTCTCTCTCTTTCTTTCCCACCCTTACTTGCTTTTTTTGCTCTCTCCGCTTTCTCTCTGCCAAGCTTTGCCAAAGCAACCCACGGGGGCGTTGTCTTAATCTGAACGTTGAATCCACGTTGCTTCGAGTGAATATCTAAAAGAATGTTCAAAGTAAGATCACAGGCCGCTTTTGGGTCCTCCTCGCTTCCGGTTAAATCTCGGGGTGCAACGCGGCTCTAAGCTCCGAATGGAATTTCGCAGAATGAGCGAGTCCCTTAACTTGGTCGTTTGCATCGTCGGATTAGCCTGTGAAGATTTGCACATTGATTAATTCTCGCGCGGATTAAATGTCAGATGAATTGTATAAACATTCAAGGGTCACGCGAAAGCGGGCCTCAACGCACGCGCAAATAACGTGGTTCGACTTTAACGCGATGTCTACCTCACGTATCTGCGGATGAATCTATTGAGTTGCTCGACAAGTTCATAGAGATTTTTCCGAAGAGTTCAAGATCGATATTTTACAGTTGGGTATAACTTTGTTCAATAATGTATCGAGCCTTTCTTTCGGTGGCAGGTCTCTGAAAAAAGAAAAACCAGTATAATTAAATAATTTTAACTTATTATATATAATACTTATATAATATATTACTTATTAATAATAATTTTAACTTATTATTTAACTTATTTTTTTAATAACAGTAATCTCTCTCAAATAATTTTAATTATTTCAATTTAATTCATTAAAAAAATTGAAATAATTAAAAATTAAGTTGTATGAGAGTATCAGCATTTTTGTAACATCTCCGAAAACTTATATAGAACAACCCAATGTTGACACGGTTCTCTCTCTCCCTCTCTCTCTCTCTTGCTCTGTTTTCGAATAAGTAATATACCTCTTTTATCTTTCTCATTTCAATTTAATTCATTAAAAAAATTGAAATAATTAAAAATTAAGTTGTATGAGAGTATCAGCATTTTTGTAACATCTCCGAAAACTTATATAGAACAACCCAATGTTGACACGATTCTCTCTCTCTCTCTCTCTCTCTCTCTCTCTCTCTCTCTCTTGCTCTGTTTTTGAATAAGTAATATACCTCTGCCCGCATAAAACAGCCGGAACAGCAGCTTTCTAAAGCGCCGATAAAAGTAACAACCCGACTGGCTGGTGTTCTCCCGAGGCGTTAAAGAAAAAAGCGTCACGCGAGAGGCCCGCGCGCGCGTGTCCACGTGAGTTAAAATTGCGAATCGGCCTTGGTGGCGAGTGCCTATAAATACGAGGTTCGCTTATAGGCGACCCGCGACCGAAGGTGCAGCGCGCGTTGCACCGTCGTCCCTCGGCAAGGCTGCTCGCTAGGAAACGCTTTGTCGCTCTCTGTGCTCTCTGGCTCTTACGCATTACGTAAGACTACGTGATATCAGGATACGCGGTGCCTTACGATGGTGGATAACGCGCGTAGAGTGCGTTGGGAGATCTCCCGGATTTGGTTCCGCGATCGTTCGCGACGAGCGAATTGTGATTTTGTGATATCGGATGCGACACCTTCGTTCACACCGGCGTTCCACATGTGTCGAACTCTCGCACGGAGAAGATAATTCGGTTCTCGCGATTGAATCCCTCTTGTCTGAGAGATATCGGACGCCAAATCGATCGCGGGAACAGGAACATTCCAGTAGATTGCCATTCAGTCAGTTTTTCTGTTATCTCAACCGAGTTTTAACACAGTCGAATGTTCAGACAAATGTTTTTCGGCCGCGGTTACAGAGATATCGTCTCTAGTCACTGAGCTTTTGTCTGCTTCTCACTCAATCGCATGAACCGAGATTCTTCTTATATTGTAATTATATTCTTATATTTGTGACAACGAAAATTCGTCTTTTCTCATTCGCGCGAACAAATCAAGTCTCACGCAATTACGTAAAAACATGTTTGAGACGTAGTTTTAACTCTTTACCTTGCTCGGATTACGGACCACTATGTATAAACCGAGACAACAGTTTCAAACTGTTCTCAGTTCTTGAGGATTCAAGAATTAAGGACGTCCTCGCGGTCATATCCTCGCGAATTCTTTCTCGCCGGGCAATCACAGGCGAAAGCGCACAATTCGACTCGGCTACTTCTAGAAGACACTGTCTCGCGCCAAGCTGTGGTACGTTTCGAAATTCATAATTGGAGTCGAGTAATTCTAATGCGCGCAGAAACTGACGCATGATCGAAACGCGCACTATTACCACCACACAGACGCGCTGCGCACTCTGCGCACGTAGGCATGTGCAACCACGCGCAATCGTGAAATTGCAGTAGTGTTGGTTGCATAATATACAGGTAACCTAGATCTGCACCCACTGCTTCCCACCCGTTGACCTCGTTACCCTCCCCGGTCGGCTCCGCTCTGCCCTCGCTAGAAAACCTTTGCTCCAAGTCGAGATGTTCATCTCGGCGAGGCGGCCGCGACTAGAAGAGACCATAAGAGAGTTCGAGAGATCCTCGGCAAAAAGAAGATTTAGAGAAGTTCTTTGAACAATAAAGACGTAGGAAGGAAATCCACGTAGGAAGGATTGTAGGCGCGAAGTCAAATCAAAGCACATATTTGTGTTCTTTCGCGTAAATTTATGTCCCGTGCACGCTCGAACTCCCGTGACGCCGCTAGTGCGCGAAGGAATATTTCGCACGGAGAAAAAACTCAATTCGACTAACTGTTTTTCTGCTATCTGGAGACCAGGCGAAACTCGATTTTACGCATAAAACACACATACTGTAGTCAAGTGAATGTTTCTGGCACTTTGTGAGAGTTTGTACACTCGTAGTCGGAAAGTCTGGTTTTTTTTTTTTTTTGTAAGTTTAGAAACCTATCCTTCATGTTCAGTGGGAGATTTTATTTTCTAATAAAAAAACTCTCTCATTGGACAAGACGGATATGTTCCAGAACTTACAAATAAAACCAGACAACCTTTCCGACCACGAGTGTACATTGGCAAATTTATCATAGTTTCTCTTAAGCATCAAATTTAAATGCGTAGTACATTCTGAATTCAAGTGAGTTTGGCGCTTCAATCAAGAATATTAAATTAAAAGGAAAATCGGTTCGCTTACTGCTTTGCTTCTTCGACAAAGTTTTGTAATATTCTCGTAAAGAGAATAAGTTCTTCTTTTCTTTAAAGCAAAAGTACCAATGCCTGGACATGTATTTAATTCTGGACATTCTTTTTGTTTCGGTCTTTAGATAAATATTTAAACTTATATATAATTAATGTTTAAATTTTCAATTTTTAAGATTTTATTATTAAGATTTCAACTTTAAAATAAAATATTAACATAAAATATAAAATAACATAAAATATAAATTAACATAAAATATAATTTTTAACATAAAATATAAATATATGGTACAAGTATTAAACGTATAAATATATTCTATGTTGAAAATTTAAATATTTAAAGACCAAAACAATAATGTCCAGGATTATGTACGTGTCCGAGAATTGGTACTTTTATCTTGCGATAACGATCTTTGCTAAAGTTTGCGATACATTCTAAGACTGGTATCAGGAAGATACTATTTGTTGAAGATAACTTAAAAGTAGAAAAGCAAACTGAGTAATCGCCCTTCCAGATAGAGTGATCTTTTTTGTGTGTAGAAATCGAAAGACTCCTGTAGATCTCCATTTTCGCGTAATTTTTCTTGAGTTATTTCAACGCGGTTTTAAAGCAGCGGAATGATTAAGCGAGTGTTTTCGGTTGTGGCGACGTAGATACTGTTTCCCGGGTTTCGTCGGGTTTCCGTCTGGTCGCCAGTCAGTTGCACAAGCCGATATTTTCTTTTCCGCGCGCGAAAGACAAAGTCAAGTGAGCAGCGAGCGCTCGCCTCTTACGAATGAAATCAGATCAATGATCTCTTTCACCCTCGTACCATCGAAACTCACTTTCACCCACGGTGTGCGCGGGTTTTACTTTTATTAAGCCGTTCCGCCACGAAACAGTCGGGATCTCGGCGGTGTCTATTTTAGGTTTCGCGCTCGCCTCTAATCCCGCTACCTTCGGCAGAAAGAGAAATCGAATTTTACTTCTTCCGACCGGCCGCACGAGGACCGGCGTGGAAATGGAACGTACGTTCCGAGAAATCATTTAGAATATTACTTATCGCTCGCGAACCTCGAGCTACACCTCGAGGAAGCGGATTGTTATCTTTATCGCGAGCCTTGTCCGCAATCGAGGTAGCTCCGTCCGGAAACCTCGCACCCCCTTGCCACTTGGGCCAGCCGACCCAGTTCGGGCTCGCGCTCGCTCGTAAAATGTAGAACTCCCGGTAGATAGGCGCTCCGGATTTTTTTTTTCAGGTGACCCAGCTGAAAGGTATCGATTTTGCTTGAATTCCGTAAGCAGGGAGCATCGGCTGCCGGGAGAAGAGGCCGCGCGAATATTCGCATTTGCGTATCTGACTATTATATGCCAATGGACGTTAAAGCCAAAGGTCAATTCGCGCGCGCGGCGGCTGTTGCGTTTTTTCTTGCATCAATAATTCCGTCGTGTATGTGCGACGGGACACAGGCGGATCTTAAAAATATTACGAAACGGAATGTTGGCCGTTATATCGCGCTACTAATTCGCGCGACCTCGTCTTCGTCGTCATTGTCGTCGGTTGGGAGTGCTTCTCGCGACGGCTCTCGCTTTTACGCCCGACACGCGTAACGTTCGTAACATTGAAGATGATTACAACTTAGAAGATAATGATAAAGTTTTATCTACGCGGGTTAAACACACCGCAGCGAATACGCATAGTATTCTCGTCGATAGCGCCGTTTCGCCATCGCAAACGCCGACAAACCTACCGGAAGAGAGCGAGTTTATTTCTGGTCAGTCTTGAAAGCGTTCCTTTGCCAGTCGAAGAACAGATCTGCGATCGGTACGCCGCGCGATACCCAGAACAAATGCGACGCGCTTAGCTCGGTCGTGTCGGTGTTCATTTCGTGAGAAAAATTTAACAGAAGGAGAAGCGCTCCGTTTGAATAATTCTCCCGTCGTGACAAATTTGAAAAAAACTTGAAGAATTTCTGCGAATCTCTCGCTTACAGTGCGAAATTCTTTCGCAAGCCTTGAAGCATAATTTATGGTTCAGTGTGACACCAAGAATATAACAAAGAAAGGAAGAAGATCTCGAATTCGCATAGTTTGCTGCTAATTTTTTCACTTAGAGAGCAAAAAGTTCGATAGTCCGTTGAATCTCAAAAGAGCCGAAGTAGGCTACTTATTCGCGCAAGGAACAGCCGAAAGCATGGATTTTGTAGCTTTTAGTGCATTGCTTCTACTACGTAGAGATCTCTCTCTCCCATTCTCCGAAAATAATCCAGAAATAATCACGTCGAGATAACTTTGCCCAGTAAGCAAATTGAGCGCAGACTGCGCGCAGATTGGCAGAAAATTTGATCAAAAACCCACAGCAAAACCATAGCCATCTGTGTCTACATTAGGCTACGGTTTTGACGACAGATCTTGCTATCGGTCAATTGGTGCCAAATTTGCAGCAAAAACCGCGTAAAGTTCGCAGCGCAGCAAGGTCTGCGCGGTTTCTGCTGCCAATCTGCCATCAAATCGCTACAAATTCTGCACGGCTTTTACTGCAAATCTGCAGCAATTATCCGACAACAAGCTCTGCCGTATATCTGACGACAATTTGGCAGCAAGATTTGATACAACAGATCCTGCAACAAATTTGTTATCTATTTGCCATCAAAAGTTGATAGCAAGCTCTGCTCGAAATCTGTTCGCGCAGATTTGGCTGGGTAAATTTATACAGATTCGAAAACGAGCCGCTCGCCCGATCGGGGCCGTTTCTTTTCGAGATACCGCGGCGCCGGGAAACGCGCTGAGAGAGCATGCTCTCGCCCGTACGGCCCTGAGACCACGGGCCCGTGGTCAATGCGACCTGAAAATACAGGGCGGTCTCGCGATCCGCACTCCGCGCTGGCTCGCTATGTTCTGACAGCGCGACGACGCGATCAGCTGTTCGGCGACAGCGTCGCACCCAGCTGTGAGTGGTGCGCTCAGCTGACGACGCCATCGATACACGCCGTCTGCCCCCACCAGGCATCCCCTCTCCCCCCACCCCTCCTCCGCCAGACTCCACACAGCGCGTTTCAGGAGCGTATCGTGCTCAACGAGTGCTCTTTAACACGCTCGACAGACGGGAGAATGAATTCGCGGGACTCGCGTGGCGTTTCACCGATGGATATCCTACGGCGCATTGTTAGTCACATTCATCGCGCTCTGCGCTGACTCGATTAACTACCGCAGGCATCGATCGTCGGCTCGATCTTCGTTTCCTTCCACCGGGAGAAACGGGAAATAACGAGGTGGAGAAAGACAATGAAAGAAGTTTTCTCCACACTGAGAGAAGAATTTAATAAATATTATCAAAATTTGGTTACTATTACTAAGTGGTAGACGTAAATATAGCGGGCCAAAGCTATGGCAATACTTATTAATTAATTTAGTTCTGTAAAATAGATTATTTATTTGACAGAAGTAAAATTTATTTGCTTCCAGAATATATTTGGTAAATAAAACTTATTGAATAGTTGAGCAAAATAAGCGATTTTGTAATAGTTACAAAATGTTTGGTAGGTTCAACCAACCATCTGTAATAATAGATATTGAAACGATGTAATAGCTGCAAATGAATGAATTTTTCGTTGCAACAAAACATACTTATACTGGTAAAAAAATAGAACTCGTACTTGCTGAATCTTTTATTATATGGGATATAAGAATTTCATAACAATTATCAAATATCTGTTCATAACTATAATATATTTTATATTAAATATTTAATATTAAGTAACTATTACTAAATTATTTAATTGATGTTACTGTGAATGCAATTATGTCATACTCCCGATCTATTAAATATTTGGTAATTATTATCATATTTAGTATTAGTTACTAAAGATTCAACGAATTTCTGTAACTAAATGCAATTTGTTATAGTTACCAGTCTTTTCTTTCAGTGCAAGTATCGCAAGTTTAGAATTAATGAATTCAGATGTGGAGAATCTAATCGCGCTTGAGCGAAAGAATAACTGTAAGATTCTTATTTGATGGGTACTAATAACGTCCATAATAATGTCCACTTAAATCCAAATTCTTTTATTCGAATAGAAGAAATGATCTTACAAGGAGCTAAGAGGTTCTCTCTTAAAGTGAATCAGTGAGTAGTCAGTGCACAGGGAGAACGATTTGGTTGAATCAAATAAACGCTTTTTTGGAATAATCCAAACGAATTTTTCGATTGATCGAACAAAATTTTGTTTGAAGCGACAAAAATATTTATTTGCGGCTTAGTTCCAAAGAAATATTCTTGTGTCAACCAAATAATTTGTTTGGATTATTCCAGAGAAATTTATTTGATTCAATAAATCGTTCTCTCTGTGTGATATCAGTTATAAGTATAGCACTGAGCAGTCTCAGTGCTGTACTTATAGCTGCAAATCAGTGTATATTTACTGCTTTCAATGATGTTTCACTAAATTCACTTTAAGAGAGTTCTCTCCTCTGTAGAAGCTCGGGTCGCGCGACTCTCGATCACGAATTCGGCGATCGAGCTGACACGAGGGACTCGCGCGCGGAAGCTTTGTCGAGGACTCGCGCGACACGCGCCGCCGACGCTTATCGTCGGCGTTTTTTCTCTGCCCGCGCCGATGAAACGTGGAAAGACGAAAAATCGTGGCGACCAGACGCGGCGCGAGTCAGTGTGCGCGTTTCGCTGACGTAACGTGGGCAGCGAGAGTAGATATTAAGAGACCTCGAGTTTCCGCTCGTACTGGCTTTCCGTTTATGTAACGCGTCGTTAAGCGCTCTCGCGACCCGCTCCATCGCGCACACTTATGATACGCTCAATAATTTTCTTTCGTCCGCGAAATGCTTCCCCTCTCACGCGCTTTTCCTACCATGGTGGAATCGAGGTCGGCATTTCGTCAGCCCGAAATCTCGCGCAAAAGTGCGATAATGCACGCGATGACATTGCCAAGAATCAATCTCAAAGAATACGCGCGACCGCTACATCGAGAAAGAAATATTTGAAAATTTCTTCGTGGGATATAAAGTTGGTCTCCGTGAGGTAATGCAAATAAATTTTCAAGTACTCTTTTCTCAGTTGTCACATCTGAAAAGTCACTTGTGGGATACAAAATTTGTTTCACACAAATGGGAAGCTTATTTCATACAAATAAACTTGATATCTCACAAATAAATTTTCGGGTTTTCTTTTCTTACAAAGAAACCCACACAAGTGTCCGCTTCCGATTTTCATGAACTTGTAATATGTTGTACTTTAGATCAAAATAACAGATACGTTTTTTATTATATGTGCCCTTTCGCAAGTTTAGGGGATGAAATACCTCTTTGAAGAAAATCGGTTTTTTTCATTCGAATGGAATATAATGATAATAAGAATAATAATGGAATATTAATATATAATGATAATAATATAATTATAATAAAAAGAAGTGGTGGGAAAAATATTAACAAAAAATTTTTTTCAAATAATTTCTATAAAGTATTCTTTAAACCATTCAACTTTTATTCAAAATATTTTTTTATCTCTTATAGTTTTCATTATATTCCCTTCGAATGAAAAAAATTTTTTTCTGCAAAGGGATATTTCACCCCCTAAACTTATGAAAGGGCACATATAATAAAAAATGGATTTGTTATTTTGATCTAAAATACACTGAAGGAAAAATTACCTTAAAATTAACAAATATTTCTTTGATGGGTGCCATTAATATATTTATTTATATATAAATCTAAATTCTCCTTATTTAAACCAAATATTGTTTACTTAAATCAGATAAACAATATTTGATTTAAATAAAGAGAATTTAAATTTAAGTAAATATGTTAATGGCACCCATCAAAGAAATATTTGTTTATTTTCCCTCAGTATACTTTAGATCAAAATAACAGATGCATTTATTATATTTATATATTTGTTGAAGTATTTGTTGATTTTAAGGTAATTTTTCCCTCAGTGTACAACATATTACAAGTTCATGAAAATCGGAGGCGGAAACTTGTGGGTTTCCTTGTTAGTGTACGTCACGCACGTGATAATTGAATTAAACACTACAGCTTATTTATTAATTTTTTTATTAATTCCGCACCAGTGTATTTCGGCAATCAAAGTTGTTCGGCGCGGAAATCTTATCTTATTCGTTGACCTAGCCGACAGAGAAAATCGTAAGCAGTGTTCCATGATTATCTAATCGACGATAGTCTCGCCGTATTAATTAGTCGAAATTGGAAGAGTGCGCGTCGAAGCGCTCGACGAGGTTCCCGAGTTGTTCGTCTCCTCTTGCATGTCCGCAGCTGCACCTGCAAATCGCGCGATTTCGTTAGTTGTGGAATCCGCGAGATGGGGAACGGGCTACAATTTCGCCGAGTTCGTTTGTCGACGATCAACTTTCGCGGGGAAATCGTGTTTTCGTGTTGGTTCCCCGATTACGTCCACGTTTTGCGAATCGAAATCCGAGCTGGCTGGCCGAGCCTGCTTACGACGGCGATACATTCGCGATTTAAATGCTGCGGTGGCATCGTTACTGCTTAAAAAGCGACGCGTCGGACGTCTGCGAGATCCTCAACGGGATTCGCGTATCGGCGACGCACAAGTCAATGCATCGGCCCTACCGCTTTGTACTAACCGTCCGGAAAACCTGTTACCCGCCGCAGCAGGCCCCGACTGCACCTTGTTTTCTTTCATCACGTGCTCTACGCGCCCGGCTATAACCAGTCCTGCGGACGTGACACAACAACAAATTTAAAGGGACGACAAAAATCCGGGGGTCTCCGTACGAGCCGTCTCGAGCACGTTGGCCCGCGACGCGTACGCTCCGAGATTGCGTCCCGATCACTTAGCGATAAGCTCCCTGGAGCAATGACATTCGGAAATTGCCGCTTGACGTGCGAGTAAACAATCGCCGGGAACACGGGGTGTCTGCTGGATTATCAGTCGACATGTCGGTGGACGACATGTCCTTGACAAGAAGAACTACCGCCTCGATGCTTCGTACATGGAAAAGAATGCTGTTGCATCAAATGTTATATTTAATAACTCTACACTCTGGAAGGAAAAGATATCTAAAAAATGAGAATTATATATAGTTATTCGATAGAAACATATTGTATTAATATGCACATTTTTGCATCGAGACAGAATTTCTTTCAAATAAGCAAATGTATATCTTTCCGGAGCAACACGCATCGTTGCTTTTCACGAAAGCAATAGTTTATTCTATTTCGATAAAATAATTTATATTTGAATGTTATTAGTACCCATCGAATAAAAATCTTTTATTTTTCAGATATTTTTCAGATATTTTTTCTCTCTCAATGTGTGTATAACATTTTAATTGTGTGTATCAAAAACATTAATTTTATTTGTATTGTTGACAAATTCTATATACAGAGTAAAATGGCCATAGGTCGGGTCGCGCTGAATAAAAAATTCTATGTGACATGTGTTCGTTTCTCAGAGATTTTGGAAAAAAAGAAGTTAATAAAAACTGATATAAATGAATTTTACGTATTCACATAGAGTTCATTTTTTAATGAACATGGCACAATCTATCATCTCTCCTCCTGAAACACCCTATATATACAGTATATATACAGGAGCATTTGTTTCCGTATAAGAGATTGTTGCGCCTTCAACTCACCGCATATAAATTGTGAAAAAATTCGATTTCTCCTTCGCGATCCTTTAACAGATCTGATTTTGTGCCGTCCGCAGCAAAAACCGCTCGAACAACGCGGCTAGAGAAAGAAGATTTAATTAAACTCTGCCTAACTAGTCCTAATTGGGGTCAATTGCGCGATCCACAGATCCTCTTCCGCGACGTCTTCGATGTTCGGTCGTCAGCATTGATTATTCTTGCGTTGCAGGTATGCACTGCCTAGGTGCGGTGACGGCTGGCACGTCTAGCCCGAACGGGGTTGGCGGTCGGGATGGTACTCTTAGCGTGTTTCGAGCCCTTGGAGTCCTAGTGTGCGAAGGGAGAATCCAGGGCCCTCCGCGTGGATACAAAGAGGGCCCGCACTGCGCACCGCCTATGCAGGCGGTCCCGAACGATCACGTGTGTGAGGAGAACAACTATTTGGTAAGTAGTAGCAGCAGCAGCAGCAGCAGCAGCATATGGTGCCCCCGTTACTCGCCGTTGTTTCTAGGCGACCTACTTTCGTGGCTTTTTCAATGGCGCCTGCGACGAACAATGCGCCCGTTGAATTGAAAGAAACCGAATTACACGCGACGAGATCCTGTCGTCGCTTGTAAATGAAAATCCGAATAGACGATTCTGTAAAATAATTTGTATCTTAATAAATGTTTGGTCGATCATCATTGAGACGCGTTTCTCCGTCTGGGAAATGTGTCGCGATGATGATCGCACTTTTCTCCCAATTTATTAAATTATATTTTCGCTTTCTACAATCAATTTACTAATTAATTAAGTTTTAATAAAACATTTCTTTTGTTTTAATCAGGTTTCTTCTTCTGTATTTCCCGCCCAGACAGCACAAATGTCCAAAATCGAGTCATAAGGCGTCTTATGACCCGATTTTGGACATTGTGCTATCTGGGTGATTTCTAAAATTATTAAAATTGATTAAATGATTATTAAAATTGTTTTTCGAATTCTGTTCAAGTGCGATCGATACTTGGTACTAATCCGAGAGATCGCAGAACGCATTGCCACTGGTTCGTTCTTGTGCGTGGAGGTGCTTCTGTGCAGCGACTGTCCCTGCGGTTTGGCGAAATCCACGAGCAAGTATCCCGTTTGCCCCGTGCCGTCCTTGTCCATCTCACCATGGCAGCACACTTCGGATATGTTACTGGAGTACTGGTGTATTTCCATTGTACCAAGCAAGTAAGTCGCTCTCCGCGTTGTTGCAAAAGAAATTTCAGTTAACAAGTGGTGGACGGGAGCGTCTTCTATCCTGTAGACTTGTGTTTTAAGAGAGATTCGGGTATTTGCAGGAGTCCAGAGACGATGAATTATCAAGGATTGTATCAGGCGGTACGCTCGCGACTGCACTTCAGCCAAGTCGCGGCTTGGTGGTCGCGCAGCAATGGTGCGGAGCCAAGTTACATTGCCACTCGTATCGTGCCACACAACGAAGACAATCTCAGGAAGTTTCGAGAGACGCCGGTGGAACACACCTTTCCTTTGGCTGGTAACGGCGACGGGAATTCTATTAAGGTAATAGACATCTTAGAACACACACACAGCTCATTACATTGTCACGTCGAGGAATTCTTTAATTCTCCAAAGCAAAAGTTTTGAATTTTATCAGAAAGTCCCTTTTAAACGTGAAGGATTGAATTTCTCGGTTGCAGATCACCGTTTGGGCATTACCGCGGATGGAGGAGGTGCCCGTGCTGACGTGCTCGTTGCACCCGAAGAAGGAGAAAGACGAGGAGGATATCGCGAGGGCGTTGACACCCACCAAAAGCATCCCGGTGACTGTCGCAGCGCAGAATCCTCTCGAGGGTTTGGTTTTGCCTGGTAATGAATTAAGCTTTCATGTTCCTTGCTCTCTGGAGTTCCCGGGATTTCTCACGAGTTTGTCTAGAACGTAATGAATTAGTAGGTACCTTTCGCTAGAACACACGGTCCGCGAGTTACGTCCGAAGTTTACTGTAATGCACGAACGACCGCCAATCGCCGAGTGAAAATTACGCGACTATTCCGGTATAGCTCTGGTGGACGACAGACTACAGACATCCTGCAACAAGTCCGGCAAGCACCACTGTCATTGCGAGGAGGAAGACGCGTCCCCTCTGTCACCCACTATCAGGTCCAACAGCGAACGGAAACGTCGCCGTTCACTCCCGTGCGGTCCAGCGGAGAACTTTTGCGTGACTTTGCAGCCCGTGCCGATGCCGTCCCTCCAAGAATCCATCCTGCAGGAGACGAAAGACAACGTGAGGGGCACCACCGAGATGGCGAATAATCGTAGCGCAGTACGGACGCTTCAGAACAGATCGGAGAACAGGGACGAAGTGAGAACTCGTAACAATCTGAATCATCTGGAGCGCTGCTTTAAAGCGCAGCTGAACATCGATGGTCGCGACAGCAGCCTGGAAAAACGTTCCAAGCGCACAATGGAGATGGCTGATGTTGCCAACTCAAAGACCAACGTCGACAGGATCGAAGAGAGCTACAATAACTCCACTAAGAGCTCGATCAATCCTGGAAGAGGGTCCAACAGTTCGTCCGAGACCAAAGCCGCGGGACTGAAGGGTGCGCTGCTAGAGAATCTCGGTCCTTTCGCTCCTCAGTTACCATCAGGGTTATCCTGGTCTTTCGTCTCCTCTTGGCAGAACAGTAATATGAACAGCAAGTTTCAGAGCTTCTGCGGCACGAAGGAAGCGCGCTTTAACGACTCCGAGAGGAGTTACAAACCACTGATCGCCAAGGAGAGCAACGTCGCGATCGATCCCTACGCTCAGCCCAACCCCTTTCACGAGTCGAACCCTGGGCCTTCGACGTATAATAATGTATACTGCCGCAAGATGGACAATTCCGCTTGCACCGTACACCAGAGTTGCTTCAAGAACGTCAATAAGACTGCTTCGGCGGAGGCGGTGTCGACTGGTCAGGATGCATTGGAGGTCAATAAGGAAGATAATTCCGCCAAAGGTCGAGGGAGAACTGGCAAAGAATTCAGCCAGCTGATATGGAAATTATCGAACTTTCCAAACGAGAAAGACAAGCAGGAGGAGGGAGGGATCCTAGATTGGTTCAGTAAAGTACCCGGTAGAATGTTGGGTGTCACAGCTGCGAAGGGTTATGCGGAAAACAGTAAAGCGAAGAGCAGCACGAAGCAGCCGGAGCATCATCAAGGCACTAACGAGATCAAGTTCAAGAACTGCAATCTGGAGCTGAGTCCGCGGGAAGTTAACGAGGTACTAGCGGTCCTGCGTGCCAGAACGCCATCGGGGCGTCGGAAGGCTACCATGAAGAACATAAAAAGACGCGAGCGGTCCGAGAAGTCCAGCGAGGAGGGAGCGGCGGCGGAGAAGCTGTCGCCAAAATGTGCGAGTTTAGAGAGCGCGAACATGGCGACGAGTCGCATGAAAGCTTGCGACGTTTACGACAGCAAGAGGTGGTATAAGAAGGTGGAGTATCCCTCGGGGGAGCCGACTGCTACTCTGGACCGTGTTTATTACGACAAGAACGTTTATCAGCCCGCGTACTCCAAGTTCTCCGACTCGAACAGAAGGCACGAGGAGCCGCAAGGTGATGCGGAGCGCCTGCAGAACGTCTCCAACAAGGCAGACGTGCTGCTCGGGGCCATTCTGCGGAACGGCAGCAGAGACCGGAAGGGCCATTTGAACGTTTCAAACGGGACCAGACCGAGGTCGACGACTAGTATTGATGACGACGATAGCGATGATTCTCGCGCGAGCCTCGAGAAGCTCGATCAGGACCATAGAACCGCCTGTGCCGACGAGAAGTCCTTGCCGCTCGCGGTGAACAAGAGATTCAACAAGATCCGACAGCTGTTCAAGAGGGAGGATGATAGAAGGACCACCGTGACGGAAAGTTCCGTCTTGCTGGAGAACGAGCATTTGTCAGGTCTGCCGCGGTGTTCCAGCCCAGCGTTGTTGCGCTACAACAACGAGCAGCCGGCGAATCTGCACAACTCTACGAGGAGCAAGACGAAGCGGCGAATCGACTTCACGAATTTTCCGGAGACCGCCGAGAAGAACGGACTGGCGACTCCAGGGCTCAGTACAAAAGACGCACATCAAAAGCCACCAATACATAGTACAAATAATTTCGACGATTACGAGTGCGATTCCGCGGGCCTAAATCGGCAAATCAATTGCGACAGGCTGCTCGTAGACGCGAGGGAACTCACCGAGGACGAGCTGGGCGACACGAGTGAGAGGGACACCGCCGTTCCGAAGAACAATCTGACCACTGCGATCACTCCGCAGAACGGACATTCGTCTTCCAAGGTGCGAAACAACAATAATAACAAGGATGGCGTGGTGGAGGATGACGAGACCGTCGACAGGTGCGTGCCGTCCGCCCTCGAGCAGGAGAGATTCCGCCGATCGCTAGAGAACGCGACGTCGATGGTGTTTCACAGCAGAACTGGCTTGCCTTTGACCTCTAGCCCGGCGCCGCTCAGGAGAGGTAGCTGCTGTTTCGATTACGACAGCAGCTTGAATTCCGTCTCATCCAAAAGAAGGTACGGCATTTACTTGACAAAAGCAAAATATATAAAGTTACATCTTGTTGCACAACGTGCCAAGTTTGATTTCTAGGTCGGAAATGTGTTTTCCGTAGATTCTTTCCAACTCTCTGTGAATATTTCACTTCATTTCACCAACTGGAGGAGCTTATACTGATACTGAATACTCGTTCTTCAACGATACGTGTCAATAAGTAAAAGAACGAATACAAAGATAAAATGAATAAAAATTATATGAGTATAAATTAGTAAAAGATTTAAATGAGATATAAATTATAAATTAATAAAAAATATGTAATGAATAAGAAATGAGCAAAATGAGTAAAAATTACGAAAAGGTAAAATGTGTAAAAAATATTGACTCGTTGATTTTTAAGGGAATACTAAAGAACGACTTAACATCAGATTGCTCTTTTCCCTGACAAAGTGAAAAACTGAAATATTCATTATTATATCTATCTTGGAAAGAAATTCGCAAAAAATGCGGATCCAATATGCCGAAAAAACTTGAAATATTAAATATTTTACAACGTATCTTTTTGCGCTGCAGCGCGCTGTTCGAGTTGAACACACCGCCAAGTCCGGGCGCGGTGTCACTGGAGGAGACTGATCGCGAAACGGAGATCGCTGGTGAAGGCGAGGAAACACCCAGAAGACGGTCCAGTTCTCGCCATCGGCCGCAAAGTCACGCTCTTCTAGGAAGTTTTGAAGAGTCTGCGCTGAACGGTAGACTCGAACCAGTGTCTACTGTTCATGGTTTTACGGCGGAACTCGGCGCTAGCGGTTCTTTCTGCCCGAAGCATCAGAAGCTTCCAGTCACTGTGTTCTTCTACACGCTCGGTGACAACGACAAAGTCTCCACGCCATACCTTGTACGTATTCGGGAAATGCATTAACCATATCTCTGCACTTGTTGCTTCACATATAACACTGCTATTTAAATCTTCTAGGCTCACATTAATCTGGAGAAGAAAGGCTATCAGGTACCGAGAAGCGGTACCATCCAAGTGACCCTTCTCAATCCATTGGGTACAGTCGTTAAGATGTTCGTAGTACTATACGATCTTACCGACATGCCGCCGCGATCTCATACTTTTTTACGTCAAAGAACATTGCGGGACAAAACACTACGCTACCTCGTTCACCTTAGGTATGTATAATCACGCTGTTGACAGTCTTGACATGTTGAATTCATGCGTGAGTTCCATTAGAACCAAATTCTCGGTGTGTGTTACGTTAACCATACTTTTCTATTCTGACGTGTCACCCAGTATAAGTAAAGCTGCCTTTTAACGCGTGCGCAAGCATACACACACATATACACAAATCGATAGTGAGTCGAAAAAATTATTTGTCCTCAATATGATCTGTATACTTTCTTTTCGATGTATACTTTTCTATTCGATATTTCTCTATTAGATTGGTGCAAAAGATTTATTTGTCATTTAAGAACTTGTTTTTGAGTAATTTCCAGAAACTAAATTCTCTCTTAGTTGGGATCATTGGTTACGTTCTGCAATACATAAAAAATGTCCAAACTGTATTGAAACAAAGTGCACAAGTCGATACGGAGAAAAGATAGAACTTGACGCACGCGTTGCCCGTTTCAGATTTATGTCCAGCAAGTCAGGTCGAATTTATTTGCATACGGACATCCGTATGATCATCTGCCGCAAGTCCGACGTGGACACGGCGTCGGACTTCGGCTCGGAGCCGCCGAAGGAACTCAGGAGCTACATCCACGGCCCTACGAATCCGAAATTTTCGCCAAGGTGCTGAGCCACGTGGTTCTTTCCATGGGGCTGCTGTCAATCGTTCCGCCCGCCCAGTCCCCTTCACGTCGAGGTGTAATCGACGACGCGTTGCGATACTCAACATCCAAATTCCAAGTTCGAGGTTTCTTCTTCCGAAGCTACGCCGGCAACCGACAACAAGTACCGTCGCGTACCTTTCAACCGTGCCGTTGTAGGGAAATATGTAGTTAGAATGTTCTTGTAATTGACTTCTAATTTTCAAACGTTGCTCCCGAGATCTCGTAACACTGAGATTTAGAGCTGGATGTGTAAGCGTTAGTTACTCGAGAGACAATTGTGATAACGTTCAAACAAAAGATGCAGACCAGACTTGACAAAGTGATCATTGAATTAATATTTATTGATTTATTTCGGATCGCGAAGGGTTCGGGGCTTCGCGGATCGAGAGAGTACGAGGAAAGAAATCTGGAAGGGCTTCTAAGGACGGACTAACCGTTCATGTTGGAAAAATTATTTATTATTGTATGGAATTATATAATTTTTATAATACGTAGTACTATAAGATTATATAAACAGTAATTGTGATTATGTTATTTCTGTAAGATAATTCGGCTAACGTTTGCGAAATGAAAATTGCATTCTTTGCACGTCGCGCAGTGAAGAAGCGTTAGAGAGTTAAGTCCTCTGATTTGGTCATTGAATTCCAACATGACCGGTCCGATTGGAATCGAGTCGAAATTGCGATGGCACTCCCGTGGGAGTGCTACTTTGATCTATGGTTCGCGCTTGCAGTATAGGGTGCCGCGCGTGTATCAGCGTGTGCCGCACGCGCCACACGAGTCTCTTCGTTTCAAATTATCTCTCTTGTGCCGTAGAGATGTGCACTGATATTTTTTTTCAGTTGTACGATTCTGTTACATTAAGCCGATTTGGTTTTTCCGTTTGATCCGTAACAATCGTGAATCGTAATCGGTCAGTTCGAAGCGCGCACTGAAGAGATTACGCCAATCCTCGTTTCTTTGTCCAGCGTTTATATTGTAATCGCTACTATAGTGCATGCTGCTAACCATTACACTTATGGAGTTTATCGCAGGCTGGACGATCTCGTTGGGAGGCCATTTTCTCAACTTATATTGCTGTAAATATAGTCAGGCGTAGAATTGTGTAAGAGTTTTTAAGCGGGATGATACTGCCATTGTGTGTGTAGCACCCTACGTTTAAAACGATAAAAAAAACAAGTGATATATAGACGCGCAAAGACACGCCGGTGCGTCCGGTCGCTCGATCGTTCACTCGAAATGTACATATATATATTCGCGCGTGAAAATCGAAACCGTACGACGAAGGTGTATGTACGTGCAATAAAGAGTACAAAGTTAATTCGCGCACTGTCGCATAAAAAAAAGGATAATAGATCGTCGTGATTTTGTCGTACGACGAAAGGAGAACTTCGGTGCAGATTGAAACATTCGTTGCCCTTCTTTCTCAATTTTCGTTTCTTTCAGTTTTTTCGCGACTCTATGCTGTCGGCGAATGCGAGTAGAACGTGAACGACCGGAACCGGCGAGTTTTTCCGTGAAGGAAGTAACAAAAATTATTATTTACGCATATATAATCACACACGTACACATACACTCACTCGCTCACCCATTCACACACACATACACACACAAAATACACAACACATATAACACATATGTATATATATAGACGTATATACATATACATATGTATATATACGTATATACACATATATATATATATATATGAATATGAACACAATCTTTGTGTCCGTAGCACTGTGATGAATATTTTGATAGACTATAAAAAGAGTAATTATTATTATTATTACAGAATAACTATTTCCGAGTAGCGAACATTGATAGACGTAGATTTAAATGATTCTATTAATATGTCGTGCGAAAAAAAAAAAAGTGTAACCGTGCGTAATTTACTAACTAGCAGCAAAATCGATACGCCCGTTTCTGAGTCGAGCTTCAGAGACAAACGAACGAGACACTCCAGTTTTCCCTTTATTTTTCTATGGAGCGTGCCACGAATCACGCGGAAAAAAAAAGATGCTAACGAGTGGATAGGAAAGAGAGCTTAGGTTTTGGGTCTTTCAGCGATAAAAATCTAGATTAGGACTTCGGAGTCGGCAACAAGTAATTTCAGTGTCACAATCGTCGAGTTGCGGCCGTTTGGGTGAGAAAACGTGGAACAAAAGAAAAGAAAAAAAAACTAATAAAGTTTCGTTATATCACTTTTGCCGTGATTTCTGCGAAAGCAGCTGTCAACATCCTGATAATCATGACGATACCGATTTAGCGGCGAGACAACGCTCACGAAACGTATCTTCTGAAAATTCGATTGTCCGGGCTCGAATTATTTTTTTGCGAAGTAAGAGAGTTGCTGTACGTGTTAAGTGTGATTATTTTCAATTGCGACTTTTTCCGACGGAGCAATTGAATAATCGTATATACGCATACAGTAATCAGAAATATAATAACCGCATGTACATATATAGATAATTTCGATAATGAAAAAAGTATAATTTGGCGTTCGTTGCCTTTTTATCTAAAACATTATGCTTGTTATCTTATCGTTTTATATGCAAAGGAACGAACATCTTTTACAGGCGATCTTAATCAAACCTATCCGTTTTTTTGTCAGTAGGTGCTAAAATCTTTTACAAAGATGTCAAAAGATTTTACTGCTTCTCTGATGCATATTTTAAAAATTTTATTAGTCTCTCTCTCTCTCTCTCTCTCTCTCTTTTTCTCTCTCTCTCACGCACATTCACTCACTTTCTCTCTTTTTTCTCAAGAGAAAAACTTTTCACAATCGAAGTTCCTTTTCTTATTTTCGTAATAACCGTCATAATGTTGCGTAATTGACGCGCTTTCGCGCTGGTAAAACTCGCTTTAGACGCTCTGTAATCCGCGAAGGAATTCAGGACAGAATTTGTGAGAAAATAATTCGGTGCATTCGATGTAGGCGCGTGTGTACACACAATGCTACGAAGCTTAGGGTATTTTCCGTGTCATATGGCACACAAAACTACAAATAGAGCTGCGTCCCGAATTCCGCGTCGCGATTTCTAGATCATCTAAAGCGAGCTCGCGAGACTCGCGACCAAAACAGAAAATCAATAGCAATTTCTTTCCCACCTCACCAAATCCAGAATCAATTATCACATTTATTTTTGATTGCACTCGCGAATTCGTAGTCGGTATTCTTATCTTAACTCGCGCGTTATTTCTATACGCGACAGAAGAGAATACTCGCGCGCACTATAATCTTTCTCGATGATATCGACAAAACGACGAAGTTCGCGCTCGTATTTTTGTATATTCGCCAGGTCGACTCGCTAGATATACATATATCTTTCAGACGGACCGTCTTTCCGTGATATTGTACAGGACGACAGACGCTCGCGCCGTTCAACGAGAACGACTGCAAGCAGTACAGCGGCCTTATTCTCTAAAAAATATCGCAAACGATATTTCTATGAAAAGCTATAATTTATGTTATATATATTATAGCTCTTTATCGAAACTCAGGTAGAATAAATAGTCAAAATAATATCAATCTCACGTCACTTTCACCAAAAAAATGACGTAAATTTGGTCAATATTTGGTCAAAGTGACGTCAGATTGACCTTATTTTTATTATCTGTTCTACTTGGAAAGATCGTATGCGATATTTTTCAAGAATATGATCCCAGATAAGATATATCTTTCCGACGTTCTATTTTTTTCTTTTTGAAAAATAAAGTAGAGCGTCGAGATAGTCGTGGTCAATCGATCGTTGAAATTTATTCGAGTCCCGGCTCGCAGATGACTTCGGAGCAGTGAATATCGTAGCGTATATAGCGAACGGCAAGAGTATGTATATAATCACTGCCGAGTTTCTTGTATGTTAATAATTTATACGGGACAAGACACGCGCGTGTGAGAAAACTGGCTAATTTCAGCGACAAAGTGTCAGTGGCTATTTTATCGACAATCCGAAAGAATAGCGAGTCGTTATCGAGTAATATCTTTTAATGATGAGAATATTGTGAAGCAACGCACTATCTCGAATGCAAGTACTATGAAAATGTAAACAGTAAGACTTGAGCATTAAGACGTATTAATAGCCGTTACTTGAAATTTCTCTCAAATGAGATACTCAGATTTAAGTTTAGAGTTAGATGAGACCTTTATAGAAAAGTATCACTGGCTGTGATAAATTGGCCAGTAATAAATAGTAATTTTATCACTCGTACGAGTAATAAAATTATTGAACAACAGTAATTATCGCTGGCCAAATTATCACTTATCAGTATTAAATTTCTATAAGGGGAATTAAATTTGAATTCTCAGCTAAATTACGATTGCAGATATATAATGTTATATAAGTCACGTAATTCATGAAAACAAAATTTGATTTAAGGTAAATGTCCCAGTCAGTGACACACTTAATCTTTCATGAAAGTGAACCTGTCATTAATTAAGTGATCCTGTCATTTTCAATTAAAAATCTATCACTTATAAGATAAATAAAACTTTTATTTGTGCTATAGTCATATGTTTTCGACATACAAATATACTTTTTTAGTAATATAATTAAAAAATTGAAATCAATATATATGTCCCAGTTAATGACACTTTCAGTTTTAGGCTGTCCTAATTAATAACACGTCAAAGACCGTGTTACATACCATACAGCACAAATATCCGAGATACATTCCAGAGATATTCCAGAGATATCACATTGTTTCTGGAACGTCTCTGGGATGTATTCACACATTTGGTGCTGTATGGACACTGACTGGGACAGTATACATACGTTTCCTATCACTGACTGATACTATGTGATATACTTGTCCCAAATAGTGACAACGGTTTCATTATTGCTTATTTATTTAGTTTTTTTTGTGAATTAAATAAGTCTAACTGTTCTTACTCTAATTAATCTATTAGATTGTAAAATTTCAAACTGAGATTTTATAATGTAAAATATTTTCAAAGTGTCACTAACTAGGACACTGTCATTAACTGGAACATTTACTTTAATTCTGAATAAAAATCTGAGTATCTCATGTGTGAGACTGACTTCAAGTAACAACTATTACAGATCGATCAATCATTGAAAACTTTAACATTGTCGATAATTTCAACATAATAATCTTGTGTTTTTTTATAATTCTGAAATTTTCTTAGTAAATACCCAGGTTGCAGACTCACGTCAAAATGACATTCAAATCTGGTCAGTTCATGACCAAAAATGACCAAGAAATGACCAAAAATGTCGTGAAAATCTCATTAAAATGACGGTCTAATGTCACAGACCAATGACAACATTTTAAGACGACTTAATGACGTTTTAATGATATCTTTAAACGTCAATAATAAGTCATTAAGACGTTGTACAGAAACGTCACAAAAAAGACGTGATTATTTAATCACTTGACGTCAATCGACCAGTTATGACCAGTTTTTAACGTCATTTTGATGTGAGTTTGCTACTTGGGTACCAACCAACAGTAACATTTCAAGCAACAGGAACTTCTATAAGAACTTTTTAACAAGTGTAATAATTTTTGTATTATATAAAGAATATGACTCTAGTAAATATTGCATTAATTTCCTGTATTATGTTTCTAAAGGGGATCATTCTTTTCCTCGTTAGTAATAATGAAAAAAAAATGAAAATGTTTTTTTTAGAAATTTTTGCTACTTGGGATTACATCAAAATGTTATAAATTCTCATTCAATGATACAAATACCGTATACGTTGTATGTAACGGTTGTATCGTTGAGTAACAAGTTGTAACATTGATACAATATTATTGCTGAGAAATGCTTGTTGGGTGAATTCACTAATTACACCAATTCACTAATTGCTCAAGTTTTACGCCATTTCTCCATGTGCCGTCCGTTCAACATTCGCAATGCAGGATAACGTTTCCTATTCTTTTGTTAACGATAAACTTGTTACTGGCATCAGCGCTGCTTTTTCGTGCGCCAACCTTCTCGTGACATAAGCGATCATCCTTCGGCGATTGTAAGCGATTTTAGTTGTACATAGATTTCCCCGTCAAACACTCGATCTTTTCTCGAGAAACGTAAAGCAACCACATCAAACAATGTGTCTTTAAAGAGAGAGAGAGAGAGAGAGAGAAGAAGATAGGATACACGTAAGATCCTCTAATTGAATGCGATTCTCGTCGGTATCGTCCTTCAATCGACACTCTGTTCCTCTTCTCCTCCTCTTTCTCCTTCCTTAAATTATAATTCTACGCAGAAGAATATTATATTTTAATGGTTCTTATTGATAAAACAAAAACTTGGGGGAATAAGGGTCTATAGAATCATTAACATGGATGACGTAGTGTTATAAAACTAGCTATAAAGCTAGTATCTATCCTCACTTATGTAGAGGTAAAAAAATTGTATGTATACAAATATATAACCAGGGTACATGTTTCCAAATGTGTAGGAGATGAAGTTGAGGAATCTCAGATAAAAAAATTTAGTATAACGCATTTTTCAGTCCGCGTTTTAAATACAAAGAAAAATATTATATTTTAATGGTTCTTATTGATAAAACAAAAACTTGGATTAATTTTTTTACTTCTACATAAGTGAGGATAGATACTAGCTTTATAGCTAGTTTTATAACACTACGTCATCCGTGTTAGTGATTCTATAGGCCCTTATTCCCCCAAAGTTTTTATAATTCTACCTATTATGCAGATAGAGGTAGCAGTCGAGATTTGAATTTGTCGCTTAGCAAATTAGGGCGTTGCAAACGTGCAGAATAAAGTTCGTTTGGGGAAGACACGGCTGATTGTTGGATTGAGTTCTAGGATAAACGACTTCCGATCGGCCATCTTGTCGGTCGTTTGAACGATCCGCCGGAAGTTCCGCTCGTGCGCGCCGTTCCCGTTCTCTGTAGTCGAGAGTGCAGAGACGAGAACGCGTTCTGTCGCTATTCTCCATTTCGATCTTACCGACCCGAGCCGCGCTTCTTAGTTCGCAGGAGGCTTCGCGCGTGGCGCTCTCTGCCCATCGCACAGGAAACGCGCCCGAGCGCCACCAATACACACATCGTGATCCTAGCTGGCTTTCTCTGCGCGACTACGCGCGCATTACGTACGTATGCGTGTGACGGTTAGTGACGGTCGTGACGGTGACGAGCCATCGGAGGTGATATCGCGTTCTCGTCTTGTTCTTTCCGTCGTGTCGAGCGTTCTCGCGGCGTATTCATCGGGCGAATGATGGAAGCGGTGCATAGATGCGAGTAGCGAGTGCGAGGGATCGTCGTTTCTCGCGAGTGCATCGTCTCGTGGTGCTTCAGTCGTACTGAATCATACTCGGCGATATCTCGCCACGGCCGTCGACGCCGATCGCCGTCGACGGGTTCGTCCTTCGGCGAGTCTCCACGGCGGCCCGAGGGGATTTTTGGGCGTGTGTCGCGCGATTCGTATGGAAGAAAGGAAGCGGGCGGCGGACTCACGCGCGCGCATGCGAGGACGGACGGGAAGGGCTCTGGCTTTTGACGGATATCTGTGCAGTTGCAATGGCGACGGCGCCTCCGCCTGGCTCGCCTACTTTCTAAGCTGCGTTTCGGTGAGAGGTGCCGATCGCGCGGCCCGCGTCTCTGTCTCGCTTCCACCGTCGTCCCCCTCTCGGCCTTTCCTCTTTCTCGCGCGTTCCTACGCGCGGACGTAAGGACGCGTATACGCACACACACACACACACACGCGTCGCTCTCGCGTGTCCACGCAGGAGAGAACTATGTGATTGATGACGTACGACCGACGCTGGACTCCGTGCCGATTCCAGAAGTGCAGCAGCTGCACCGCGCTCTCTCGATCCGGGGATACGCGACGTCTCGGACGCCAACGCGTGATCGCTCTACGTCGGCCCTTCGATGCTTGGCGTTCGCCGCAGTTGGTACGACAGTCTGTTGTGCCCGCGGGTGCCCAGGATATCCGGAGAATGCGCGGAGACCCCGTTCGGTGGTTGCGCTGCTGGCCTTCCCTCGCGGATGTGATCCTTTCCTCCCGCCCGCCCGCTTCCTCTCGCGTTATCCAGTCGACAGTGCCGCTTGCTTCGCGATCGCTGCTCGATCCGCCGTCGGCGCGACACAGCTGACGGATCTCTCTTTCTCTCCCAGGCGCCGCGTCGCGAGCCGTGACAGCGATTCGATCTCTTCGCGAGTGTTGCGGGGAATTGGACCCCGGTGAAAGATCGCTGAAAAATCGATTTTGGTGGTGACACGAGAGAGTGCGCGTGCGATTTTTCCTTATTCGCGAGACGCCTATCTCAGACGACAACGACAACGACGACGCGAGCGAGCGACGGACTCGTCCCGCCGCTCATCCCGCCGGGATCTTCATTCGCCCGATTGTGCATTAGATGCGATCGAGGCGACCGTCGGAAGCGCGAAGAGGTCTCCCGACCACAACTGGCGGCTGCGACTAACTTCATCTGAGACAGCCCGAACCGAACACCCATCAACATGGGCAACTGCTTTTGCAGCAACCCTCCGGACCCCAATGAGAAGGAGAAGCCGGACCGGATAGGTAACCCTGAAGCTGTCGCGTCGCAGGCCAGTCCGGTGCCGACCCCGCCGCCCGACCCCATCAGACCGATGCCGCAGATCCCGGACACGGACATGACGGCCGCCAAGATATTCGTCGCTCTTTACGAGTACGACGCCCGCACCGACGAAGATCTGAGCTTCAAGAAGGGCGAGCATCTGGAGATACTCAACGACACGCAGGGCGACTGGTGGCTGGCGCGAAGTAAAAGGACCAGGCAGGAGGGCTACATCCCCAGCAACTACGTGGCCAAGCTGAAGTCGATCGAGGCGGAACCGTGAGTCGCAATAGCTTCTTGTAGATCATTACATTGGTGCATTTATCTGGCCGTAATCCTTACGATAACGCGTGATCGGCTCGTTATCGTAGGACGATCGCAGAAAAACAATGTCCTGGAAGATTGACTCACACATCGATGAGTCGTTCCTCTCTCTCCCTCTCTGTCTCTCTAAACATTGCTGTCGCGATGCACGCGAATCCGCGCGTCGCATGCTCTCGTAACCGCTAATACGCGGGTTTGCAGGTGGTACTTTAAGAAGATCAAGCGAATCGAGGCGGAGAAGAAGCTGCTGCTGCCGGAGAACGACCATGGCGCCTTCCTGATAAGAGACTCCGAGAGCCGGCACAACGACTACTCCCTCTCAGGTAACGTAATCGGACGATAATAGAAGCCGCAACGGTCGATCGTGTAACGCGGTCACCGTGCGATATTAATAAGTGTATAACGATTGGCGTGGATTTCTCGCCCGGCCGTGGCGCGGAGGAGAAAGAGACGAAAAGAAAGAGAGCCGCTTCGGCCAAACGGCGCGAGATCCACGTCCGATCGGGATGGAATGTAACGAGGATTGTTGCAGTGCGCGACGGCGACACAGTCAAGCACTACCGCATCCGTCAGTTGGACGAGGGCGGCTTCTTCATCGCCAGGCGGACCACGTTCAGAAATCTGCAGGACCTCGTGGAGCACTACAGCAAGGACGCAGACGGGCTCTGTGTGAATCTGTGCAAGCCTTGTGTGCAGGTAAGCGATCCGAGCTGTTCCCCCCATCCGCCCCCTCCGTGGCCGACGTGAGATCGAGCTTATTCTGTAATAACGGCGGCAAACGGCGCAATTGCCGTTGGGATAATGATCGATGCTGGTGCTCGCGCGAGAATCACCGCGCGATAGTCGCGACGAGTGGCGCTGTGGCTCCGTACTCTTTAAATTTCTTGGAGTGAAATCTCACTCTGAACGCCCCGAAAACGGAACTGTACTCTCGGGCTCTTAGATATTCAGTCGCTACACGGAAGAAAACAGTATAGTTGACTCACATATAAATCTGCTTGCGCTAACCAACGGTAGAATACAGAGCTACTACTAATTGCATAGTTGCTGCAACCCCAAAGCAATTGCCGAGTTATTGGTGTTAGCAGCACCAATACCTGATTGCTCCAACCGAGTGTGTCCACGGCAAGTGTCAGCCCAAATGATTTCGGGTTGCCACAACCAGATCACCTGCATTAATGTGACTGATGTATCAAAATAACCGAGTCATACCAACCATATACATTGCGATCGCACAAAGATAACTGGGGTGATGCAACTATGCATAACTATTCCTGCATGAGAGAAACAACATGGTTGGCCCGTACATAATCTGATTGTGTCAACCAGATTTAATGAATACGAAACTAATTATATGTGGTTGCTGCAACTGCAGAGCAACTGCTGAGTTACAGTGTCGATATCAGGTTGCTCCAATCAGAGTGCATCTATGGTAAATGTCACTCCGAGCGATTTCTGATTGCCACAACCAGATCAGGCGACCGTGTTGACGTAGTTGATGTACCAAAATAACTGAGTCATATCCACGTATATTACCATCACACAAAGATAATTAGGGTGGTGCAACTATGTTGCTCACAACTAAGTATTTTTGATTGTATGCACCGTATCTGTTTTTTTCCGCGTGGTTATATGCACCATTTTTTTTTTCGTGTACGAATTAATAAGAGCCAAAATGAGCAAAATGAGCGGAAATTTATTCCGGATAATAGTGAAAATTCACTGTCACTCAAAATCGTAAGGGCCTTTGCAGGTAGAAAAATTTTAACCGTAAGGTCGTAAGAAAACTGACCAATCAGATTATTCTCCTTGCGTTCGAGAAATAATCGACTGTGATTGGTCAGTTTTCTTACGACCGTTACGGTTAAAATTTTTCTACGTGCAAAGGCCCTAAGAGTGAATGTTTCATTCGGAGTTTGAAGAGGGGACTTTGGCTCCATACGAATAAATGTGCCAATCGATTAGAGCGGATATATATACTTGTCGCGCTGAAGTACATCAGATTCATTCTTCAATTTCGAGTGAAAGTATTTAGCTCCACGATTCAGAGTGTGGAAAATTCATCGTGTAAGAATGGGAAATCACTCAAATTCGAGTGGCTTGGCGATCACTTTGCATTTCCAGTGGGAATTTCACACTAAGAAATTTAGAGAATCCCCATGAAGGAGATTAGAGACGACGGATCGTATGAACGTCGTATTTTACGCGTTGCGTCATTGCCGCGCTGAAGTTCCGCTTATCGTAGACACCGGTGGATCTTGATAAAGAAACGCGGTATTTCTATTTCTTTCTTTTCTCTCTCTCTCTCTCTCTCTCTCTCTCTCTCTCTCTCTCGTAAAAAGAGCCGCGTTACACTCATTCACCGGCGTGGCGACGCGCTTTGTTTCGTCGCGAGAAATCCTCGACACGAGCGGAGAACGACTCTCCTCGTTGCCATTGAGTCGTACTGGACAAGCCCCGATTAAAATGTGCAACGAGCAAGCCAATACCGTACCGTTACCGTTATCGTCGCTATCGCAAGTCGCCCGTAATTCATGTCGCGCCGAGGTGTCCTCGTGAAAATTGGGCAATAAATAACAGCGATTGAGACCTTATTATCGGCGAATCGATCAGCGATCGACGTTACACGCTGCTACTTGGCGATTATCGCGCGAGAGATTGTCTAAACTACGACACTTGCGAAAGCAAATGCGACGCGATTGACTCGCACGATTGTCCGACCCCGACTGTGATAATGGTAATAATTGCACGATTATATCGGTATTATTACTAATATCACGTGACATATATCACAGTGTCCCCTGACAGTTATTATTGTTTTTACTCTATCATTATTGTTACTGTCGCTAGTAACCGGTGAGCGATACTTTGGGACCGACGTGTCCGTGTATAGTATCCGTTTCAAATGACACATCCTAAAGAGACATTTACAAACATGTCAGCCACATCAGGTACATCGATTGCAACCGTGACGATGTGTGTGACGTTCTCAACCAGCGTTTCCCCGCTCTTGGGAGAAATCGCGGTAAAACGCAATAAGTAATATCAGGGGCTAATTGAGAGCCCCTCAATGCGTAACGCACGCGGCAGTAATGAGGCGTCCACGCCCTCTCAGGCGTTTGCGCCGAGAGAAAATGAAAAGTTATCGGTCTTTTGTAGAAGCACTCTCTTGATAAGCACTCTCTTTTTGCGAAGTTCGATGTCTGAATAGACTGTGTTTGTTTGTCTGTTTATTGCTTGCCCTACCTCCCGGTGGATTTTCTTGGTAAATTGAATGTCCTAATATGCCATAAACACGTTTTGATTTTCTTCTTTTTTCGACGTAAAACGCTTCTCCATTGTGTCTGGCCTGTACATACAGCACAAGCCCGTTCTATATGGGATTATGTTTCAAAAGCAGTAGATTGTCATTCACTTAGAGATATCTCGTATCTAAAGCTCTCTGTACATTTCGATGTAATTCCATATCTACAACATGGTTGATCTCTTTTTCCATCTCTCTCTCTCTCTCTCTCTCTCTTTCTCATACACACAAACACGTACATACATATACGACATACTCATTTAGCATCCTAGACTCCTCCTCGTTTGAGGGGGATAACGAAATTAGGATATAAACGTGTAAGAACTGAGATTGGCAGCACACGCGGAAAAAGTAAAGAGAGAAAAAAAGATCTAACGGGACATTTAACGAGCGCGAAAATGTCGTCTCGCCTGTGAATAACAATTTACTTTTGACCAACTCTCTTTCCACGTATTACGTGCTCTGCCGTGCTCTGAAAGTGAGAATCGCGCGCTTGCCGGCGAATGTATGTGTGCTCGAAATCTACATATTCGCGCGTATGCAGAATGCCCCAAAAGCGGCGCGCGCGTCTGACATGCCACATGTATGCCTCTTCCGTTCTCCTCGGATGACGAGCGAGCTTGATACGTGTATAGATGCGTGTATACGTGTGTGCGTGTTATCACGTTTTAGATTATACGTATGTACGCCGATTACGTGTTCCCCCGAGATGTGCGCGTATTTTCCGCGTAGTGAAACGCACATTTGAGACACTTTGCATACGCTCGCGTTATATCCGTTCATTATTTCATTTCCTCTTTATTCATATTCATATTCATATATATATATATATATATATATATATATATATATATATATATACATATACGTTCATATATATATTATTCTTTGTTTTTTTAAAAATCACTCGTCACCGTCGGAACGAACTCTCGCGTCGCGCTTGACTATCACCGCGCGAGAGATCGTTACCGCGGCTCTTAACGATTGCAGGACACGGCGATAAGAGTAGGTTTGTATGTCCGCGAAGAGGGAAGTTGTGCGCTAGCTCTCCTCACGCTATGCGTAGAGATTGTCTCTTGAGAACGCTTACTAGAAATTCTTTCTCTCGCAAAAGGGACCGGAACGAATAGCTCTCGCCATTAACAATATTATATCCGCCGTTACAGTACACGATCCTTCCTCGCACAAAATCGCAGTCGTGAGTTTGGGCCCGCGCGGTGCGGCTGATCCGGCTCTGGCTTTGTCAACAGGTTGAGAAACCCGTAACCGAGGGCCTCAGTTATCGTACGCGAGACCAATGGGAGATCGACCGTTCGTCGCTCAAGTTCCTGAGGAAGCTGGGACAAGGGCAGTTCGGTGAAGTGTGGGAGGGATTGTGGAACAATACCACACCGGTGGCGATCAAAACCCTCAAGCCCGGCACCATGGATCCAAAGGACTTCCTGGCCGAGGCGCAGATCATGAAGAAACTCCGGCACAACAAGCTGATCCAACTGTATGCCGTGTGCACGATGGAGGAGCCGATCTACATCATCACGGAGTTGATGAGAAACGGCAGTCTACTGGAATATCTGCAAGGTACTCTGCTCGTTACACGCCAACAGAGAAAACAAGAATATTGTATGACTCCGATAATGAAAAAGGAAACTGAAATAATGTAATAATGTTATTCGAGTCACAGCCATTGTTCTAGCATAATATGTAACAATTATTGTGCTCTTATTTAATTGGTTGGATGTAATAATTATTTATTAATCGTTTACAATTCATCACATACATAACAAACATTTCAAGGAAATGTGATTAATTATTTTATTATGCCGGAATATAACGCCATATCTTAGACTTGTAAATATATTCAGACACGCGCTCGGTATTTTTTACATCGGTACTTTGCTCGAATACCGATATAGCTGAGCATTATGTATGATCTTTTTTACTTCTTTTTTTAGGCAAAGGTAGAGGCGTAAAGTTACAGCAATTAATCGACATGTCCGCGCAAATAGCCGCTGGTATGGCTTACCTAGAGTCGCAGAACTACATTCACCGAGATCTAGCAGCTCGTAACGTCCTCGTAGCGGACGGCAACATTGTTAAGATCGCCGACTTCGGCTTGGCCAGGCTCATCAAGGAGGACGAGTACGAAGCTAGAATAGGAGCTCGTTTCCCCATCAAATGGACCGCGCCTGAAGCAGCCAACTACAGCAAATTCAGTATTAAGTCTGATGTGTGGTCGTTCGGTATTCTCCTCACTGAATTAGTCACGTATGGTAGAATACCTTATCCAGGTGAGTGCTTTGCCTCAGCCCTTTCTCTCTTCTCTCACTCTTTCCCTCTTTTTTTTTTTTTTATTTCTTTGGCTGGACCACTTGAGAAAACAATTTTACCTTATCATGACTGAATTAATGAAATGGAAATGTGCTACTCTACAGGTATGACGAATGCCGAGGTTCTTCACCAGGTGGAGCACGGCTACAGGATGCCATGTCCGCCCGGTTGTCCGAGCACACTTTATGATATTATGCTGGAATGCTGGAACAAAGACCCCATGAAGAGACCGACCTTCGAGACGCTCCAGTGGAAACTGGAAGACTTCTTCACTATGGAAGGGTCCGAATACAAGGAAGCGTCCGCGTACTGAACAAAGGGTCTTCGACATCTTCCACGTTAAATATTATCACTCCGTTACGGACGCGCGATAATAATCGTCGCCGTCGTTATCTCGCGATGGCAGTGGTTCTTCTTCGTTAACCATTTGTGACGCAGTTGTTCTCGCGGCACTTCCGAGAATGCTGCAACCTTTATATTCGAACGACAATGGTCATTTTACGAACGATCGATAGATGATAGTGTGATCTTATTTAACGTTGACACTTTCTATCGTCCCCCCCTCCCCTTACTTCTCCCCTCTTTTCGTTTCTCTCTTTTGTCCCCTTTATTTTTTTTTTTTTTTTATGTTTTCGTACATTCTGTCTGCCATAGAGCTCGAAGAACGCGAAGTTTGTACATTTTTACTTTTATCGCTTGACAGACGTACGTCGATACTTTTGATAATCCTCAGCAACAGCGGCGTGATTTTAGATATCGTTTTAGATCGCGGTAAGGATGTTACAACGTAGACATTAATGGCCTTTGTAAAATCGTTTATGTAAGTGGCAGTTAGCGTGAGATAGACCTCGGTGATGAGATAGAGTTCGGACGATGACGCTGCGATTGACGGCAGTATAGTAGCAATGTAATATATTCGTGTACAATATAAATTGTACTTCCCGTGTTACAATTACCGTATATGATCGTATTATTTACACGTGATTATGAAAGCGACGAGAGGACGGACGCCAATCTTCTCTCGGTCATCCTCGACCGACAATGTAGTCGAAACGACGGACCACGAATGCACAATTTATCATTCCTTCTCTCTTCTCGAGCGCGATGACTCGGACATTCACGGCGAGCTCCCGCGAGGCAGACACGCGAAAGTCGTTCGGAGCAATCGCGTGTGCGTGTCGCGGATCGGAGATTCGCGCAATAGCTGGTTCACTCGCGAGAGATTTGCCGCGACGATCGTTGGAACGACGCTATCTCCTCGTCACAAAGCAATTAATATAAACTGCCAGCTACGTTTTCTAAGGTACTTTTATCGCAAGTAAGATCACGATGAGAGATTTTCGGAAGCGTACGCGACACACTGTACGTACGCGTGCGCGCGGCCGAAGATAAGCTTATCGTTTGGAGGAGTCGTTGAATTCTTTTATGTATCTCGAGAAGAGAATGTATAATATCGCACGAATTGAGAGAGTCATCTTCGTTCACCATTCGGCCACGTGTTATCGAATTTGTCATTTTTATATATTTTTATATCGTACCCGAACGATTTTACTATTCATTTATCGTGATTTTTCACGTTGGCGAGTCACTCAAAGAAAAAAAAAATCTTGAGAATAGTTAGACTATATCCGTACATACATATATAAAAAGTAAATAAATACTATATATATATATATATATATATATATATATATATATATATATATATATATATTTCATAAGTGTACGATTCTAATGGTACGATGTAAAGTTATATACAGATATTTTAGCAATACTTTGAAATTTTCTTGTACACACAGATACGTTCGCATGCACACAACATGCATACACATACACATACATAAGCATGTGCGGAATGTGCCAAAACCATCGCCATTCCCCTTATCTGTCAATTCTATGGTCGATTCGGAGTTGACCTTTCTGCGACGAGGACTAGGGATGGGATTTCGAGGACAGAGCCGCGCCGATAAATATATGACATGCACACAAAGAGAAGTCATGTACATGTGTGTTCAGTGTGAATATAGTCGAAGCGCTAAGCGCACATGCGCATGACTTCTCTGAATGTGCGTGTCAATTGTCATATATTTATCGGCGCGACTTCGTTCTCAAAATCCCCCATCCCTGAAAAGCACTTGTGATCGGTCATCTGTTTCCATCCATCTCGAATTCGCACCGATCATTTTCGAAAGTAGAATCCCGGGAAGCGCAACTTTGTTATTTTATAATGCTTAAAATACTCCACGCCGAAAGGTCGATTCCTATTTCGTCAGAGAATACGCCTCCGAAGTTTGATGCAAATTTTATGAGGCACGTGTTCGCGTGTACACAAGACGCGTGTCGTATACATATATATATATATATATATATATATATATATATATATATATATATATATATATATATATATATATATATATATATATATATATATAT